CGCGCAGTGGTTTTCGCACTGCGCTGTGAAATGGGTGGCACGCGTTCCATTCCCGTTTTAACGTTGCTGACGCGAGCGCTATCGGAACTGACCGTAGCCTCTCGGCTCCACCCTCTTCTCACTGACCGGCATGGTGAAGTATGGCCAAACGAACATGCAACCCGGCGCGGCGTGGGGGAGGCCGGCGTCCAGCGAATTGACGAATGGACGTCAGTGTTACGTTGGAGACAACGTTTTTACACGTTGCCATTCTATTTCAGGAACTCCAAGACTGCCCGCTGTATTATGGGTTGGATCAACTGAGCAGCGTTATTCGGTGCAACACCCCCTCCTTGCTGGAGTTCAGGTAACAGCCAAATGGACCTGCAACGAGATGGAGCGGGAGCGTTTGTTCGCCCAACAAGATCCCGTGGTGCCATTTAACGAATGTAATTAATTCAACGAACCTGCACACCAGAATCCGATTTACAACTCTTCTCTACACAACGGTGCAACCCATTTGTTGGAGAATGGCTGACTGAAGCAGAGATCGCAGAGATACCTTTAAAATTAATTTCAAGTGACCTCTGATCCACACAATAGTTGGGGAGGGCGCAGCACTTCCTCACTTATCCTGCCACAGAGAGTATTGTGACTTTCTGACTGGACATCTGTGAAAAAGAACTTCAAAGATTACTCCAGGATAAAGATTATGATTCTGAACGTGACCCAGGGCTGAGACCATCAACTCACTACGTTTGAGAACCCGGTATAGTCGCAGGCGGAACGAAACCTGGATTTAAAACCCAGCTTCTTGGCAGTCACGGTGTCAGCTCAATGCTGTGACCTCTGAGCCACCCGGACAGACAGCCGACGAATTTTCAACGTTTAAAGTCCATTCTGTGTGTGTGTTTTTTTTAAGGTCCGCAGTACTGCACGCGGGATACAGAGTCTCCTTATCACACGCATGTAAGAATGCGATCAAGACCGACGCACCCCCGCACGTCATCTGGGACATCATGCGTGGCTGGGTGAGTACCGCGTATGTGTATATGCACGTTAAACCTCTTTAGCACCGTACGTAGCCAAGCGCGCTCATCAGACGTGCAGGGGAAGGACAACAAACTGAACACAAAAAGCAGTTCTCTTCAATCGAATTGTATTGGTTTTTTTTTCACGCGCACAATTTCCGTGTTTTTCTTGCAATAAAGCAATTACGCGATGCGCAATAGGTTTCTCTTTGGGTTAGATTGTGGAGGTGTAATGACGATTAAAGCTATGTAGCCCTCCACCACCGTCCACTGCGTGCGAGTACGTGTTTACTCACGGTTATGAAATATGACCACGTGATCCAGAATTCAACCGATATCACATCGGATCTCAGAAGCCAAGCAGGGTTAAAACCTGGATAGCAGCACAGCAACATCCATTACTGCTCTGTACTTCTGTGTTTCCACGTGTATGCTCCCCCCACCTGCCGCCATTACCAAGCCACTCTGCCCAGTGCGGTGAAGTATGGTCCAATCACAGCCCCCGGCGCCCACACACTACCCGCACGGCGTGGATCGACAAACGGGCCGTACACGTATTAAATGGTGATTATGATGTGCGTGTGTATATGAACAGGAAAAGAAATGGCCTGCAAAGAAGGAGCGGCTATTGGAAACAATGCCAGGGTTTCAAATTCTAAAGAAGCCAGCAAGGTATAACATACGATGCCGTTGGAATATATTTGTTTTGTACTGGAGTTCAGGGCTATAGCTCGCATATCTGCTCCGACCAATTAACTGCCAGTATGTGTGGCTTTTTTAATGGTAATTTCTGGTGGATGGTTCACAAATGCAAATGTTTCACGTGCAGCAATGTATTATTCATCTTGTAAAGTACAGCAAAATCATTTTCCCATTGTAATTTCGTCATTTTCTACATATGTTTATGTATCCCGACTGTTTTTGCATATCCACCTATACCAGGGGGTCGGCAACCAAAATAACGAGGGGATTTTTTTTCGTCGAATTGGGTAAAAAAAACACCTGAATATTTCAAGAGCCGCAATGCACGCGAACAACGTCACGAAGCAGTCCTTAAAAAGCCGCAAGCTGCTCGTGAGCCGCAGGTTGCTGACCGCTGGCCTCTTAACACCATCTCAGTCCCCAGCGATTTGGATGAAACGTTAGGTGTCGCAGCGAGTTGTCCTCGGACAAGGGGGCTGTGCGGTCAGCGAGGCGATTTGCTCCGTTTTCCTGTTCGACAAACAGGGCCCCCCCCCTCCCTATGTGTGTGCGCGCGCGTGCGTTTCCAGCTTCGAAGCGTGCTTCACTCTGCGGGAAGACGCGAATCCCATCTCTCGTCGCAAAGGCCTCAAGCGATTTCAGGAGAATCCGTTGCCAAACTGGGGTCCAAAGGCACGAGCCAAACCTGGGTGAGTGTTGTCGCCAAGGGTGTATTTTCTTCGCAGCCGATAGTTAAAAAAAGTATACGACTGTCAGAACTGTGATGTTGCGCCCGTGACGGTGTAACCGGAAATGTGCCCGATCTCACCAGATTTCCGAATGTAAGAATGGTCAAGCCTGTCTAGTGCTTGCTTGGATTGGCGACCGCCACGTGCACACAGGTTGTCATAGACATCCGCGGGGGATGTATGTTGAACTTCTTTCGCGCCGGACGTAGCCAACCGTGCTAATCGGATATGCGGGGGGAAGGACGACAAACGAAAAACAAGCAGTTCTAAAGAAATGAGTTTTCAACCTATATGATGTGAAAGTGCATAGCTCCAGTGGCTTCCTAATATCGGAAGAACGTTCCAGACGGCCGCAGAAGCGCGCATCTGAAAGCGCGCGATGCGGTGATCGTCTTTGCTTGACGGCGAGCCAAAAGCTCGCCGTTGCTGTTAGGATGACCTGAGTGTGCGTGACGGTTCGTGCTCCTTCACGAGATCGGCCAGGTGTATCGTGGTCCATTCGTGGCAAGCACTTTGTGTGTGACGAGCGCGACCTTAATGCCACCGCACGGTAGGCAGTGCAGCAAACTTAAACAATGCCCCGTGGCGCTTTCTCTGCTCTCGCATATCAAGCTCCCGGACTTCCCCCAACCCACACTGACCAGGGTGGTGAAGTATGGTCATTAACTCCCACGACCCGCACGGCATTGAGGTCCGTCATCCTATCGTATTTGAGTGAATATTGATAACATGATGTATGCATTCACCTTGCACAAGCACAAATCTTGTATGATTCAGATAAAAGCACCTCCTGGCCCTGCTCCAGAGATGGCAACGGCTTGGGGGGAGGGGGGGGGGCGGGAGGCTTTCATCCGGCAGTGGATCATGGCCAATGGCGATAAATATTTTTCGATTTAAAGCTTTCGTGACTGCAGGGATTCATATTCTTGGTTCTTTCGGTAAAGTCACGTAGAAGGGAAATAATACAAATAAAACAATAACATTCTCACGACGTTTCGATTGCAACACAAGCAATCATCAGGTCATCAAATTTTCTTGCTGTGGTTTTCACACCTGATGATGATTGTGATTATTTTATTATTTTATTATTTCCCTTCTACGTGACTTTACCGAAAGAACCAAGAATGTGATGAATATTGTTTATGTGCTGAAGGGGAGGCATACAAGAGTCTGAAGAAAACAAGAGAAAGAGGCAACAAGGCAAGAGGAAGGCGACCTATAGCGACCCAAGTCTCAAAGCCTATCCCTGCAAGAGATTCAAAAAGGTAAAAGACTCTCACGCTTCTTGTCCAATGTATAACCGAGTTGTGCACAGCCAGCCCGGTGCAGCTCAAGGCACAAGCCGTTTATTTTCCTTACTGCAGAACCAGAGCCGTGCTACTAACGTCGGCGTCACATGGTGGCGAGATGTTAACTACCTTGCCTGGTATACAGGACATGGTTTCGATCCCAACGCCAACGTCTGTATATTTGGAGTTTGCATGTTCTCTCTGCCTGTGGTCGCATTGATTTTTGTAGGGGTCCGCCGGTTTTTCCCTCTGTTTAGAAACATGCGTTTTTGGCTGCTATGAATTTCCACGTTATAAGCCACTTCGTTGAGCTAGCATCTGTGGTCAGTTAGATTCTGAAAAAGAGCTGTGCAGCTCAGTGGGCCTTACCTGGTAAAATAAAAATAGTTTAAGTTGGCATGTTGAAGTGCACCAAATGACAATGTACGACAGTGGAAAATGGGCATCAGTATGTTGGCTTGCTGCAAGATAATGAGCACGTCACCCTCTTCAAAACTATCGCGTAAACTCAAGCTAGTCTTGATGGCTTTGCTTGAAGGTCAGTCGCACAATGAAACATTATTCTTGAAGTGTCCCACCCTCACTTTTCACCAAGCAGGAGACAAGCTTTATTCGAATGAATTTATTCGTGCAAGTTGAGTAACTCACACTCGTCAACTGCTTCCGTCATTTCTGTAGTGATAAATGCAGTTTATTTACAGTTGCCCAATTAAAATCAAATCGACGAAATGTCACGTGTAGCTTATTTTGACTTAATTGTATTCACTATATCCAAAATGCACATTTAACATGTATCCGGTTTAGGAGGACGATTGTTTTTAAGAGTGTACACGTTTATCCTCAAAGTAGATTTTACAAACAACTTTCATTTGGATAAATTACACTTGCTAAAAAGCAATTTGGAAACCTGGTAACAGTAAAAAGAATTAAAAAAATCGGTTCGTTTAACTTATTTTTTTTATATTTTACTCGTTAATTAGGTAAATACACTTCCAGCAAATATGTATTAAGGATATTAGTTTCTTTGAATTCATATAAATAATTAATGCGAAGTAGAAGTGGTGGGTTCATTAATGCAACTGTAATTTTTCCCATCTTGTTTGTATTTCCCTGTTCTTATTTAGGTCTCATTTGTACATTATGGTTTACTCAAATAGCCTAAATGCAAAAAAATATTTATTTGCATTTATTGCAAATATAACACCCACAGTGCTATGCACGTATCATGAGCCTTTGGAACCGACCATGGACAAACAAACCTCTCGTCGTTCCACCCCTACAGTCGATCGCTTTGTGGTTCTCAGTTGGACAAGCACTTAGGTGATGATGGAGCGATGAAATAGGCTCGTGTGCAGGCACCAGGTGGACCGTTTATACATCGCCAAGCTGAAATGGCTATGGCTTGGCTGGGGGCCTTAACGCAGCCAGTGAACTATTTTGTCTTTTGTCAACGTGACACTTTTTCACTGACTAACCGTGTCGGGGTGGTGGAGGGTTATGACACATTTATAAATAACGCGATCTAACCCAAAAACGTTTATTATGAAAATGAATGTTGTCTTTTTAAATAGGGCATCTGCACCTTTGGAGACAAATGCAAGTATTCACACGATCAAGAGGTCTCCCGAGAGACTGGGCAAGATCAACAAGAGGAGCTAGAGCACAGAGATTCCAAGCGAGAAACAGACCCTTGACGGCACTTCGTCCGCATCATACCACACCAACCAAATACAATCTGCATTGTGGAGAAGATAATTTTGGGGCACACGTAAAGTACGAATGTCAAACATTCAGTTTCATATATGCACATTCTGAAGATATATCAGGGACAACACATTTTGTATTTGCCGAAATCGTTTGCTTGAGTTGCGATAAACTGATATAGGGTGATGAAGTGTAAAGCGTCATCTATATGCTAGGACGGTTAGAATCTTTCCAAATTTTTTTTAAAATTTGGCTTTTCAAAGTTACGTAACGTAAAAATTTTACGCGAGGTTAGAAACTTTTACATTTAAAATACAATACATCGTCTGCTGCGTTACAAGTTGAATTTGTGTTCAATGTAATTTTGTACAACTTTTAAAAGTGGCAGTTTCAAATGATTTTCTCCAAAGGCAAACGCGTGCTGCCGTGCCTGCCTTCATATTTTGAATGCCACTTCAAATGAAAATAGGCCTGTGACTAAGAACACCTGATAAAATATTAATTATCCTATCCCTCTTAATTTTACTGTATAAAGTGTGGCGGGCATGTGCTCAAACAAGCAAATCACTAATTGCACTGGCCAAACATGTAAATGCAACGCTTGGAAAAAAGTGTTGAGACTCAGGCCTTTCTGGATAAAGGCATTATTATTATGAATAGGCATACACATCATCCACCTTTCGGCACCACCCCTCCAAAAAACACGAAGTACAAGATGAACAACTATTCAAGAACAGTGGTGGCAAAAGCAGTGGAAAAAAACGAGTGGCTCGTAAAATATCGTCGGTAGCTTTGGACTAGGCACTGCAACAATACACACTGTCATCTTACAATCCAAGGGGTTCTAATTATTTTAAAAGAAACGATGTGGTTTTTCATCCAGTGTCTCGCCTTGTAAATACTGATGAGAATTTGTATTTTTTTTCCATTAAAAAGTCATTTATCAAAAGCTGTAGAATTGTCTGGTCTCGTCCATTGCATTTCATAAGCATCACAATTTATTTGGATGTTTACATAAAACTACAGTTTTGTCACTCAGCACGTGTAGATAAATTCAACTTCGAGTGCAATTAGGTTTGCACCTGTTTAAAAAAAACGATTCCTAAAAGTTTTGTTATTTTACCAGGTAAGGCCCACTGAGCTTTTTGCTTTTTCAGAACTGGAAAAAGATACACACGACCACAGGGAGAACATGCAAACTCCAAATACACAGGTGTCAGGTTCGAACCCGACACCCTCCTCCATACCCAGTAAGGTAGTTAAAATCTTCCCCACTGAGCTAATGGCCATTTTTCAGAGGCGACCTGGGCACACATGATAGCTCGTCAAAGTGGAGTATCACGATTGGGAATTTATAGTGGCAGCCACAATCTAACCACGTGTCTCTAAAAGTGGGGAGGCAAAACCGAACGGAGGACCCGGGAGAAAAAACCACAGGGAGAGAAAGAGAAAACGCACAAACTCCAAACATACACAGGCATTGTCGGGGGTTGGGATTGAGCCAACATACCAGGCAAGAGAGATAAAAGTACTGTAAGTGGAAAAAGTACTGTAAGTGGAAAGTCCTTGTATAGGAATGGGAATTTAAAAAAAAAAACCCGGCTAAATAAGCGTAGCTCTGCACGTGGAGCAAAACTTCGGACCGTGGTGTCGAACACCACGGTCCGATGACGCGAAAACCTACACACCCAGGAGCGTCGCCAGGTGAGCGTTTTGCAACACGCTTTCTGAATGCGGACATGTTTAGTTGTGACACTTTTATTACGTAGCACGGTAATTTAATCATTGAGCTATTCATATGCATGAAAACCAAAGATATTTAATTAACGATACATTTGTTTTTAAATTACTAAATTGAAAAAAGGTGGCAATCGTCTTCCAAGGCTCACATCAAGCCAAAAAACACTCGCAAAAATCTGTACTCATTCGATAATCCTGAAATTAACAGTTACATGTACTGCAGGCTGTCAGTAGCTTAGCACTAATACACATATATGCCTATTTGACAGCTGTTAAAATGTTTAAAACCCTATGAAATGAAAAGCAAACAACATTTTGCCGAATGATTAACTATTTTAAGTTAATGTCAAATATTAAATTAACAATGCACCTTTTTTTTTGTACGCAACTTGCAATGCCTTAACTTAAATGAAAACATTAACTTAACTGTATTCTGCTTGAGAAGCATAACCCTGGCAATTTGTGAAACATTCCACGGGGTTTATTAATATGAACTACCAGGTGGCTTGAGCATACCTTGGATATAACATGAATATGCCTGGTATCTCAAGAACACATCAGTGTGTAATGATACTGTCTGGTATCAATGTTTTAATTGAAACAGCGTAAATAAAACACGACTACATCAAGTTGTTAACGATACGATACCGTACTGTACAAAGAAGTGTATGCTTGAAAGGAAGAAATAAAAAGCTGCGCTAAGCTGCAGCGGTGTAAGGAATGCAGTAGTCTTGTTCAGTCTAAAAATAACTTTCCTACTCATACACCCGATACACAGCTGCCATGTCATTTTCTGACTGGTCCAGTGATTTGGCCTTTTTGAACATCTGCAACAACAACAACAACACAAACACACGCAAGATCAGTGGACACCAAACCGCGCACGTGACCTAATGGTGGTGGCTGGGCTTTAGGCGCGCCTGCAATCCGAGCGCACCGGAGGCGGCGAAGGTTGAGTGGGTCACAAAAAAATGTTGAAAACTTGCCGCGGAGGTGCCGTACCCCCCTAGCCCATCAGAAGGCAAGACCACTGGTCCCCACCAGTATGGGATAGCGCAGGGGTTGGCAATCTGCGGTTCAGAGCCGCATGCGACTCTTTCGCTGCTCCCCACCCCCCTGCGGACTCGCCGGTTTATTTATTTACAAGCTTAAATCTTAAAAACAATTTAACGTAAAGATAACTGATTAAATATGGGTGACTGCGGAATGTCTTGGTGACGACAAAATTCTGCAGTCCAACTGTATTGTTAACGAATGACAAAAGGCACTGACCAGCGTAAAGTATGGTCAACAGCCCTCACCATCATGGGGGAGGCCCTTCATCCAGCAGTGGATTGACAAAGGGCTGACAATTGAACGTTATATATATTTTTAACTATTTATTTACCAGGTAAAGCCCATTGAGCTATTAAGCTATGTTTCAAAAGTGACGTGGCCACAAATGGCAGTTCAACCCAAGTGGCTTATCATGTGGAAATGTAAAGCAGCCCAACAATCTAAATAGCATGTTTCTAAATGGGGAGGGAAAAACCTGATCATCTGGAGGAAAATGCATGCGATCACGGGCAGAACATGCAAAAATTCAAATACAGTAGAACCTGGGAGATCGAACGCCCCAGAACTCGAACAATTCGGTGATCGAACAAAATTTTCGACCATTTTTTGCCCCGGACATCGAACAAAAATTCGGAGGTCGAACAAGCTGAAAGAACCCGTGTGGGCCGAGACGCGTAGCGAGGGCGACCGAGACAGAGGCGAATGACCCAGTTTACGCGTAGCTCTCGCCCAGCGCAGACCCGCAAAACACCGTTCCGTCAACTTTTTCCTCACCACCGTCCGCTCAAGCCATCAACTCTCCTTACTACAGGTAAAGTGAAGTTCAATGTTCATTTATTCTATTAATTATAACTGTTCCTTGTTTTTTGTATGCTTTTATGTACTGTACTGTATTTTAATATTGTAAACTTTGTGTAAAAATGGTCCCATTAATAGGAGCATCCTTGGGTGGGGAACCAATAAATGCTAATTCCATTCATTCTTATGGCGAAAACTGATTCGTGTTCGAACAAATCGTTGTTCGAAGACAGTCTTGGAACGAATTAAGTTCGATCTCCGAGGTACCACTGTATACAGGCATCGTCAGGGTTTGGGACCAAACCCGCGACCTCCTGCATACCAGGCGAGGGAGATAACATCTCGGCCACCACGATGCACAACGCTGCCAAACATATCCGTGGGGGGGGGGGGGATACCCTTGCTCGCACCGGCTGTTGCCCTCACCTCATTGGCAGCAGCTGCCACGGGGGTTTGTTGGTGCAGCATATCGCCCATTGCGATGGCCAGCCTCAGGTCCTTCTGTACATGCTTCAGGGAGGAGTTGGGCTCGTAATCGCCTTGTAAAATTCCTTAAAGGAACAACACGAAAATACCAAGACGTTACACATATACCAACAATGGTGATTTTTTTTTTTATGTTGACCTATACTCATAAAAGCAATGTGCACATGATGGGCATAGCGAGTTCTCTGTGGATATCTGTGGCTGACCCAACGAACCGTAAATATAATAACCGTCCATAATAAAGGTTTTTTTTGGGTTAGATCTCGTAAAAATAAGTGTCAATAACCCGCCACCACCCGACACAGCCAATTCATAAGGTTTGTCACATAAACAAAACGTGCCAATTAGTTACTACTTCAGCACAATGGTGTGTTCGGAGAGTAAACCCACAACATTTACAATTTGAGTACGACGTTTCACTAGTGATTACAACTAGCTTGATCAGGCGATTTGCCAGAATTGTAATTAACCGTATTCTCCAGATTATAAGACAAACACATTCCCCTCTGTATGTGTTGAGAAGTTCCCGACGACGTAAAAGAAAAAGTTGGGGTACATCTTATAACGTAAGTGCATGGCCAGATGTGCATAACTCTTCTAACACCGGGAACTTTATTTGGGTGTGTTTTACATTCCGGAGGGTCTTATAAACTGGAGAATATGGTTAAAATATATATTATTTGGAACTATCACAGCCAAGTACATCATCCTGTGTCAGAGAATGGCTCTTGCAGACAACATCACAGAATCACTTCAAAGCGCTCTTTTTGGATACCCCGGAAAGTGTTTTCACGTGCAATAATTGTTGACGAGGCTGTGACCATAATATACTCGCTACACTTGAGAGCCCAGTTAAATCACGGGTAGCTGCACCCGATTCAAAGCCAGGATCTCAGTGGTGCCACAGCTGAGTGCTCCGATCACCGAGCCTCACATCAATACCACTGCAAGTGTTGTCCGTTTTTTGTTTGTTTGTTTTGCGAACTCAAAACGTTACAGCCGTTAAAGTCATATTTTATCAGCACAGAACATGGAGCCTTTTTTATGGTTGGAGTAATTATAATTATTTTCTAGTCGCGTAAAAAAAATTGTGGTTCACTAAAACGCGGAGTTGTAAAATCTCATATTCTTAGCTCGTTCGGTAAAGTCACGTTGAAGGGAAACAATAAAATAATGCCGTTGGTTTTCACACCTGATGATGACCGTTTGTGTTATGGTCGAAACGTCGTGATAATTTTTATTGTTTTATATATATTTTATTGTTTTCCCTTCAACGTGACTTTACCGAAAGAGCTAAGAATATGAATTACTGCAGTCACACGAAAGCTTTAAATCAAAAGTTGTAAAATCTCACCAAGCCCCTTCTGTTCCACGAGCGAACTTCCAATGGGACCCAGGCTTAGGACGTCCAGCAGGGTTTGCTGGGAGAGACCACAGCGTTGTGCCAGGGAGAAGCCCTCTGCCAAGGACGTCATGAAGCTTCCCAAGATCATGTTGACCACCAAGGCCATCCGTGCCGCACTGCCCACTTCGCCTACAAACGCAGGGGGGGGGGGGGGCGGGCCCAGCAAAGAGGTCATCTTTGGTGACAAAGAAGCATTTCTAAAAAAGCTCTACTACACGCATCAGGTGAAAAGCGTTCAAGCCTTCATGTTGTCTGTCTCGACACGTAACGGGGGTGTGGGATGAACGTCGTCGACGCTCGTAAGATGATTCTATACGACAACTTGATAACAAACAGTTTGGTTCACATATGGGAGCATCTTCATGAGAGTTATCGTAAATGGAGAGTTGTCGTAGAGACGATCCAATTTTTCGTACAATAATTCTCGTCAATATCCGATGAGAACTGAATGGCATTTTCAAATTGTAAATCTATTTGAGGCATGCCCTTCTGATATTTGGCCGCATTTATTAAATGGTTAGCCCAAAAATACTTGGGAGACCCAAACCAGGGCGTGAAGGACTAATTACAACATGCAAACATGTTTTTTGCCCCGAGGACTACCCATCAGCTTCAACACCGCCAAATCAATGCTTCCGAGTTTAAAAGGCGAAGGCTTTAAAGCGCTACAGGATCCACACACGTAACTTACTTGTGCGGGGGGGCTGAGGCTCACTCACCGAGGTAGAAGGCACGCCGGCAGATGGCCTGGAAGCAACTATTGCACTCGTCATAGAGAGCGCGGTCCCCCGCGGCCAGCACAAGCAGACCGCCGTCCTCAGACAAGCGCTTGTTTCCAGACACGGGAGCCTCCAAGTACCTACCGCCACGCAGCGTTACAGCCTGAAATAGAGAGGCAGGAGAGTGTAGCGGCGGCTCGGTGCAAGCGCATGGCTACAGTAGAGCAATACAACGTTGGTCCTCAACAAACCGGGGTAGGGAAACTGCAGCCTGTGACTTCACTTCGAACAGCCCATGATGCAACACTCCATACAGCTAGTGACTTCAATTCATAGGGCCCATAGTCACATGAGGCTTCCATTGCTTTCTATCAAGCCCACAAACGATATTTATCCATCTCCGCAAACATCAATGGCCACGCCAATTAGGTACTAGAGGGGAATATTTTTAAATGTGGCAACAATACCGTTTTCTAATATCAGTGTACTCAGTTACTACTATCACTGCAAGGCCCTTTTTCTGACGATGTAAGCACCAACGAGGTGAGATGCAAACCGGGATGGTGTAACAGATATCATACTGGTAGGAACCTCCTGGTTACACCATCAGCCCACAGGGGATTATTGTGTCCGTCCGTCGTGCATCCAAAAATGGGAGGGGTGGGGCTGGGTGGAGAGGGGAGGGTGGGGAGGGGCTGGGTGGGGAGGGTGGGAGGGGTGGGGCTGGGTGGGGAAGGTAGGAGGGGTGGGGCTGGGTGGGGAGGGGCTGGTCACCCCGTGGTGCCCTTATAAAACTCAACGTTTAACCTACTCACGCCGGCTTGTGCCGCCCTCACAGTTGGGCCTATTTGCGGAATACACCACGTGGTGCCGCCGTTGACCCTGGCCATTGACCGAGCAACCCAACGTTCCTACCAGCTCCCTCCGCAGGAATGTGTTAATGCTACAACACGTAAAAAGGACAAACCTCTGAAATGTCAACAGCCGTCTCTGGGTCCACTGTAGACATGTCTACGTAGCACTTGCCGGGTCTAATCCCCTGCAGTACTCCACTGGGCCCCAGAACCAGCTGACATCGCACGAAGAAGAACAGAGGGGACAAAGATTAAACAGAATAAAACACAGTATATTTCCTGTAAAAAAATATATACATTACATTGAAATATCAGCATGTTATATGCTAAATCACATTTATTTAAAGCATTGCTGTGTACATGCTTATAGTTTATTCGTATTTATTTGCTGCGATAACACTTTCTGTATTTCGTTCATCTTCATGTAGTTCAGTTATGGTAACACATCTGAACTCACAGTGATTGAACACAATAAACTAATCAAGATGACAAACCTTTAATACCATATATACCTGTGATGGAACATTTTTTTGAGTGTTCGTGGATATTTAGTGAGCCTTCTTGTGATGTTAAGCTCCAGAAGCTTCCGCACATATGCTCCGGCACATTCACAGTGCTCAAAAAAGCTCAGCCACACTCGTGTGTATGTTGACCTTCTTTCGCACCGTACGTAGCCAACCGTGCTAATCGGAGGTGCGGGCGAAGGACAACTAAACACAGAAAGCATTTCTAAATAAGTATTAAATATAAATTTGAAAATGTATAGCTCCAGTGGCTTTTTAATACCAGAAGAGTGTTCCAAGCAGCCGCAGAAGCGCATCTAAAAGCGCGCGATGCAGTGGCCATCTTTGTTCGATGGTTAACCAAAAGCTGCTGCGAGGATGACTGGAGTTTGCGTGTGGGTTTACGCTCCATAACGAGATCAGAAAGGTCTTGTGGTTTTTTTGTGGTAAGCACGTTGTGTGTAATGAGTGCGACCTTATCAATCACAATAAATTTCAACCAGGAGGAATGTTAGAAAGATGCACAATTTCAGTTTTCCATCTTCTCCCAGCTGCATGGGTTTACATACATCTTTAGCAGCTGCAGGATCAGCAATGCAAGCAAGGGTGATGTCACAGCAGGACACAACCTCCGCAGGCGTTCTTCCAAGGTAAGCTCCATCTTGCACAAATATGTCGCACTAGGAACGGCAAACATAGTTCAGTCAGTCTCGATGAATGCCGATACACAATCTTGATTGGAAGTTTTCGTGACTGCAGGAATCCATACTCTTTGGTTTCGATCGCAAACACAAGCAATCGTCATCAGGTTGACAGATACGGCAGTAGAACTGCTGAACGAGAAAGGGCTGTTGCAGCAAGAGGCTATATAGAGGTTTGAGGTGGGTGTCACCCAAGGGTAATAAGTAGGCGGGGTCAGAGATGGAAAGGAGTCCCATCGCCGTACGCACGCACGCACAGCAGCTGTGCCCAAGGAGGATTGGCATGTTAATGCAAACGAAAAGAATGTAAAAAATGAGCCCCGTCGTCGCACAAGAGCAATGTCGTCGCACAAGAGCAATGTCGTCGCACAAGAGCAATGTCGTCGCACAAGAGCAATGTCGTCGCACTAGAGCAATGTCGCCGCAAGCACGCACAGCAGCTACTCTAAAGGAGGATTGGCATGTTAATGCAAACGAAAAGAATGTAAAAAATGAGCCCCGTCGTCGCACAAGAGCAATGTTGTCGCACAAGAGCAATGTCGTCGCACAAGAGCAATGTCGTCGCACAAGAGCAATGTCGCCGCACAAGAGCAATGTCGCCGCAAGCACGCACAGCAGCTACTCTAAAGGAGGATTGGCATGTTAATGCGAACGAGCACAGCGGGTCTAATTTCCCATTGTATTCGTTTGCATTAACATGCCAATCCTCTTGATTTAAAGCTTGCGTGACTGCAGGAATTCATGTTCCTGGTTCTTTCGGTAAAGTCACGTAGAAGGGAAACAATAAAATAATAAAAATATAAAACAATAAAATTCTCACGACGTTTCGACTGCAACACAAGCAATCATCATCATCAACACAAGCAATCATCATCATGATTGCTTGTGTTGCAGTCGAAACGTCGTGAGAATTTTATTGTTTTATATATTTCCCATTGCATTCATTTGCATTAACATGCCAATCCTCTTGATTCAAAGCTTGCGTGACTGCAGGGATTCATATTCTCGGTTCTTTCGGTAAAGTCACGTAGAAGGGAAACAATAAAATAATAAAAATATAAAACAATAAAATTCTCACGACGTTTCGACTGCAACACAAGCAATCATCATCATCAACACAAGCAATCATCATCATGATGATTGCTTGTGTTGCAGTCGAAACGTCGTGATAATTTTATTGTTTTATATATTTCCCATTGCATTCATTTGCATTAACATGCCAATCCTCTTGATTCAAAGCTTGCGTGACTGCAGGGATTCATATTCTCGGTTCTTTCGGTAAAGTAACGTAGAAGGGAAACAATAAAATAAAAATATAAAATAACATTCTCACGATCATCATCATGATGATTGCTTGTGTTGCAGTCGAAACGTCGTTATATTTTTATTTTATTGTTTCCCTTCTACGTTACTTTACCGAAAGAACCAGGAATATGCCAATCCTCCTTTGGCGCAGCTGTTGTGCATGCGTAAGGCGACGGGACTCCTTTTCATCTGACCCCGCCTACTTACCCTTGGGTGACACCCACCTCAAACCTACGAAAACCCTCTTGTTGCAACAGCCCTTTCTTGTTCAGCAGTTCTACTGCTGTATCTTTCTACCTGATGACGATTGCTTGTGTTGCGATCGAAACATCATGATTTATTCTTAATTTTTTCTACCTGTGACTTTACCGAAAGTACCAAAGAGAATGCCTATACATTCAAACAATAACACTACAGTAGCTGCAAAAAATTATATACTATCTACTTAACACAAGATTAAGGCCTCTCCTTGCCATGGGTGTTGTTGACCGTACGTCACCACGCTGGTCAGTGGCAGGTGTAAGGGAAAAGGGGGTGCTGCGGACCGGTTCAGATATCACTCGCAACTCATGTTAACCGGAACCAGGAATTAAACTCGGGTTATCAGGTTCATAGCGCACCCCCCCGCCCTCCCCCATATTATACAATGCAGTTGATCATCGATTATCCGGTTTCCAACATTATCTGGCGGTGCCGTGCCGATCCAGTGAAACTGGCAAAACCGTTCCGAAGGCTGTAACCAGTCCGGCGATCGTCAAACACATGGTTGTTAAAACAAGAGCGCAGTACGTATATCACTCCATTGAGAATATTCGTGATTAAGAGTGGTAATTACTTTACAGTAAATACTAATAACTTTTATAGGATATTTTTGTTTATTTATGCCGATTTCATATAGTAAACACATTAAAAAAAACCCAGAAACAACACCTAAAACATGTTATGCAAGAATGTGGAAAAATAAGCGGCGTTTTTGAAAATACGGCGCCCCCCTTCCCCCCCCCCCCGACGCCGCCGGATAATATAATCGATGATCAACTGTGTATATTCCATAAATCTAGCCCTTGACTGTACATCTCTTACCTTACTAGCCGTTCTACTCCAAACGGTAACATTGTGGCCAGTCTTCAAAAGATTCTGCACCATTCCACAGCCCATGAGGCCAAGGCCCAAGAAGCCTATCCTGTAGGCCACAGGAAGGCAAGAAGCGCGCGCACATCGCTACGCTCAGCATGACGACAGGAGGCCAAATGAACCTTATGCATGATGTCCGTGATGCAGTCATTTTTAGTCTGTTGATGGTTGGCGACGCGGCAATCGACTCATCTCGACGAGCTGTACTCACGAGGATGCACCGCTACGGTACGTACCGCGCGCGTTCGGGGTTTCGGCGCAATCGCCCTCGCTGCGTTTCGACATCGCGGAGTGTGGCACGGATTTCGGATTGATTGGTTACCCCAGTCGCGGAGTTAAGTTACACCCCTGGGGAAAAAAATAGTGTCCCAGAAATAAAATATTTAATTGCCTGGGCCATTTTGTATTATTTGGTACCCCGGCGTACCGCCATGAGGATCAAATATAGCACGGAACAACCTCGTCAACTGCAAGCAAGTTTAATACTTTGCAACACTGCCAAGTGCTTATAACAAAACCCAACATTTTTCCTGCCACACAATACTAATCTCGAACATGACGAATCATTTGGTGATACTGCGCCGGCAATGGTGCGCAAGTGAAAAAAAAATCTCATTCGTCAACAACTGCCTACAGGTGACGTTTCAGGTGACTTCCCTTCTTCATAGTGTGTCAGATTTACCATGGCCCTCCATATGAGGGGGGGACAGACAGGCAGAAATCTATGGGGTTAAGACCATGGTGAGAAGGTAGACAGCAGCATGTGGGAGGAGGCGCTGAGCCCAGGCCAGTGTCAAAAATAAAACCAAAATATACTCTCCGCCAACAAAAATAAACTGCTGTTAACGTGAGGTCCCGTTAATCAATTGTGCGTTGTAATGGTAATATATCTGGGAGAAGTCTTTCACAGTTGCTATTGTGTATGTACATTAGAGCACTTCTTCAATCCACTGCTGGATAAAAAATGTAGTCATTATTACCGACACCAATCTATTGATATTAGCTGTGATACTGGTAGGAAAAGTAGTGGACTGGAAGCCCAACCGGGATTAATTCACAGGAGGCAGGGGATTGTGTATGTCTGTGGATGTCTGTCCACGTGGGAGGGGTGGGGCTGGGTGGAGAGGTGAGGGTAGGGAGGGGCTGGGTGGGGAGGGGAGGGTGGGGAGGGGCTGGGTGGGGAGGGTGGGAGGGGTGGGGCTGGGTGGGGTGGGGCTGTGTGGGGAGGGGCTGGTCACCCCGTGGTGCCCTTATATGGACTGGAAGCCCAACCGGGATTGTGTATGTCTGTGGATGTCTGTCCACGTGGGAGGGGTGGGGCTGGGTGGAGAGGGGAGGGTAGGGAGGGGCTGGGTGGGGGGTTGGGGGTGGGGGGTGGGAGGCTGGGTGGGGAGGGGCTGGTCACCCCGTGGTGCCCTTATAAAACTCAACGTTTAACCTACTCACGCCGGCTTGTGCCCGCCCTCACAGTCGGGCATATTTGCGGAATACACCACGCCGCCGTTGACCCTGGCCATTGACCGAGCAACCCAACGTTCCTACCAGCGCCCTCCGCAGGAATGTGTTTAATCAACTGCTATTGAATATTCCAAACCAATGACAAAACTGACAAAATCCAAGTAAAACACCCGCAGCAACCTCGACGGCAAAGTTCACCAACCGTTTGTCGATGGGCGTGATGTTTCCATTTGCTGCGGTGGTATCTGCCGCCTGGACAGATGCTAGTGGCATGCCCTGGCAGAACAAAGGATGAAGCAGCACAAGTAATTGACGTACCCCTTAGTACGTCACCAGACACATAATCACGGTAATAACCTCCATTCTAAACAGCCCTGATCCTCTACTCACTCAAGTCATCCCTCACTACCTCCCCACCCCGACCCTTTGCACATCACTTGCTACGTCACTGCCTTCATCTCATCTGGTACCATTCCTGTAGCTCTCAAGACTGCCACCCTGAAAAACATCAACACTGGAGCCCAACATCTCTGTAAATTTCCATCACGTCTCAACCTCCTTTACATTGGAAAAATCCGAGAAAGGGTTATCTACACCCACCTCTTTCTCTATAAAGTAGCCATGACCCAGTATATTCTGGTTTCTGCCAAAGCCATTCTTTTGAAACTGCGCTGTGGAAAATTATTCTCTATGTTCAGGTCCTGGATAACTCTCACTACAAATTATCCTCGATCGATGTTGCTTTTGACACCATAGACTAACTCCGTGCTCCTTGAGCATCCTCATCACTGAGGACATCTCCAGCACAATTCTCTCCTCATTCCACTCTTACCTCTCAAACTGCTCTTTCTACATTTCCATACAAGGACTGTCTTCTTCCCAAAGACCCCTGTGGCTAGAGTGCACTAGACAGCTCAATTTTCAGTCTCCTGGTCTTCTCAGCAACTCATTCACTTGGAAAAAACATCTCCAGTGTTAATGTCAACCATCAATTCCATACTGATTACAGCCAACTCTGTCATGATTGGCTTCAGAAACCCAACCTCCCTGTTCAAACTTGCATCCTACTTCCTGTCATCTATGTTTTTCTCAAGCTAAATATTACCCAGGAGTCCACACTCAGTAAAGACTCCAGTTCAATTTTGCACCTCCTAAACCGACATTATTCCTGGCAGTGTGTGCAAAACCTTGGAGTTGCCATTCATCCCAAACTCTCTTCCCACAAAACGTATGCACGATTTCACACCTCCGTCTGCGCGACATCTCCCACATACATCATGGTTCTCTTCCAAGGTGCATCCGAAACTCCCATCTGTATGTGTTCATAACATTCCGACTCAACCATTGCCACTCTCTCCTCCAAGGCCTCCACAAATACAAACCTCCAAACTCCAAATGATTAAAAATGCCGATCACCCGTTCCCAATCACGTGACATCACCCCCAAGGTCACGCTACTGGTTCCCATTTCACATCCTGGATCAACTTCAAGATCACACAGCGTTTTAAAGTTCCTCCATGGACTCACCCCTGCCTGCCTCTCTAATCTTACTCTACGCCACCTCGCATGCTCTCCCCACTCCCAGTAACGAAGGCCTTCTGTTGGAAGCCAACCATTGCTTAGTGGGAGTTCAGTCGTTCTCCTCTGCTGCCCCCACTGTCTGGAACTCTCTTTCCCTCGACATCCAAGTTGTCGACTTTGCTAAAGTCTAGACTCAAGACCACCCCTCTTCTCCTCTGTCTACAACTGTTATCTTTCTCTTTCTAGACTAAAATTCCTTCATCCAGGATACCCATGTTTCACTGTTTAGTACAGACCCCCTGTGATGAGGTTGCATTAGACGATACATAAAACCTAAATTGCAACTAAGTAAAATAAGCAATTCTGTTAACTGGCACTAAAATATTCTTATGCATAAACTTATTTACACGCCGCATTCAACAGAATGTGATCATTTAAAAAAAAAAATTGACGGCAAATCTGGAAGGAACATTGTAATGCTAAGTAAACAATGTCCATTACATTGATGGATTGTCACCTAATGATTCAAAAGATAAAAAAATTGGTTCAAATTTTGTACCATTTTCTAAATGTCCACCTCCATAATTGAATCGAGAGCCTGTGGACCACAACAACGGGATTTTCCATCTTAACTTCTCAAGCAAAAACAGGCCACCATACTTCAATAGGGATTACCGTTGGTATGGCTATTTTAATACACACAATGGACAGGAAGGACAAGATCAATGGGCCACATAATGCGCATGCATCATGTACGTTGACTCAAGAGCGCAGAAGTTTGGTCACCACATCTACGCCTCTATATAAGGAACGAAACAGCTGGGCTTCTCCACAAATCTGGCTGTCGCCTGATGAAGCTAGTTGTAATTACTGGCGAAACATTGTACTCAGATTGTAAATGTTGTGGCTTGGCTCTCCAACACACCTGCGTGCTGTACCAGTGACGAATTGGCCACGTTCTGTTTACGTGACAACCCTCACTAGTTGGCCGTGTCGGGTAGTTGCGGGTTTTAACGACACATTTATATATTTACGTGATCTAACCCAAAAAAAATTCTATCATGCAAGTAAAAACCAAATATAGGAATGAATATCTGGTAACAAAACGCTCATGAGACAGTTATGACTGAAATGTAAAGGTGTGGACAACTAGTGTGCTGGCCTAGAATTATTACCAGTGTGACATGGTTCGTGACCCCTGTCTCGGACGCTGTGGTAAGGTGCTGTGGAAACATCAAGCATACAATCCTTTAGAAGGTACATCTAGATGACCACCAATACATGACAAGGCGGCCTTGTGAATTTTTTTTAACTAGAACTAAAGATGTGCAGATTCGTAAATGTAAGAGGTGAAGGTTCAGCCCTGCAATTACTTGTTTGTACTACTGCTTATGGAAGGGCCTCCATACTAGAGGGAGCTATAGAAGCATCTCCAGACGATATTCTTGCTGACACTTCCACATCGGCCAGATGGAAAGAATTGCATCAAAATTTTATATCAGTGATACAGACAATGTCAAAGCTTGTGAGAGGGCAATGCACGACTTGAGACCCAACTACAATACCATATTATAGCAGGCTTCAAAAAAAAGGAACAATTAACGACATAGTACAAAAGTTTTACATATATATAAACGAAATTTTGTTCTGTTTTAAAGCCACTACATTGCATTCCCACCTCTGCCTTTACAGCAAATTCCACTGCACTCCCTCCAAGCTGGGGGGTTTCAGATGACGTTTCAGAGGAGCCGCCGTTGAGAGGAGGCGGTTGCGGGTTGCTCGCATCGCCTGCACACTGCAGAAGGCTTACACCGACTTCCGTCGCTGGTGCCTCAGTCAGGCTTGGGCTCCCGACTACCTGGAGGGAGGACGGGCTCTGTACGGCCTGCAGGGCACTCACGGCGCATGCAGCCTGCAGAGTGCTGGGAGGCGGCGCTGCGTGGAAGCTGCTCGCGCTTCCACTGGGCTGCTAGGAAAACGGGGCGACGTTAATGCTTTTCGATAATTAGCGGACATTCAAACGTGTCGTTTCGATGCACGCACGCAGCAAACGGTTGCATGAACTGTCGCTGAAGCAGAGGTTCGTTAACTGTGCATGTTAGCGGATGATAAATACTAATAATGCTACAACTGACGAAAAACACGCATAAGCTCTCATTATTAACGGCATGTCATATAAACCCGCATGTAAACAATGAATCTATAACAATGTTTTTTTCCCCCACAGCTAAAAACAAAAGTATCTGTACATCAAAACATGAGCAAGGCCTGTTATATTTAAATAAATTTCCTGAGACTGTTTGGGGGTTTGCTTCAATGTTAAGTATTGGGTTGATTTTACAAGGGTAGACAATTGTGATGGAAACAATTCAAGAAGAGACTACAAAGTTACACTTGCAAAGGCTATAACTGTGCTTTATAGCGACATGATGTTAGAATGTAAAGTCTACATTATAAAAAAGGGGTAATCTCTTTTTTGGTGGGACGTTTCACTGGTCAGAAAGGATTATCTATAGTTGTTTCCTTAACCAAGAATGTTTTTCTCCCCCCCCCCTCCCACTTTAATTGGAGCTATACATTACAATCACAAATACTGGCAGAGCAGGATGTAATAGCCAACAGTGGTTGCAAAATTGGCAGCATCAGAAATCTTTATAAACTGCCCTCGCGTATGACAGTGGCGCTTTGATGATGAAAGCAGCATTCAATGTTTAGCATGCAAGCATTTTGAATTGCAAGACTAAAAAGGAGGCATGTTTGAGATGTTAAGGGTAGTCAAAGTGCAAAAAAATTGGACTTTGGACTACCAAGAGTAAAAAGTATCGTGTAAATATTCATCCAAGCTTAGCCAACCAAATTGACAATTACATTTGGGCCATATCCTCAAATATATCATGTACAGCAGAAGCAAAGGATCATTACTTTGCCAAAGTATTGATGTTTTGAAATGTTCAGAGCAAGAGTGTCTACAGTGTGTTTGAATTGTGTATAATGATACATTTATTGGTTTCTGCTGTAACTGATGTTACATGTCCGGGTCATTCCCTCTCTCTTAGCACAATTGGTAATTTATTTCAAAAGTTTTTCACTTGCGAAAAACATGGATGTTACACCAGGTAAGTCATCATAATCCATTATGTTGCTCTGTTTGGGAAGCATATTATATAATAGCTGCCTGTGATAAATTGTAGTCAATAAGCAAATTAGTGTAAAACAATGCCACTTGGATATTTCTATAGAAGCTATAAGAAATGTAGTTATCAAGCAGTGGTAAGAATGGCATGGTTATGGCCATATATGTGTGTGTGTTTGATCCAACTTTGGAATTGTAAAAAATCTGGGTTATCACAAATGAATAAACGCATTATATCTGGGAATGTTTGTTACATCAGTACTGTACCTTGTCTGACTGGCTCAGGAGGAAATGTCTAAAGTGAGGGTCATCCTTAACATGCTGAGAAAAGAAACAGAAAAGTGAGGCATCAATGGAGAGAGGGGCCTGAGCAAAATGCGAAAGACTGCTATATTATCACTGGGTACATGCTCAACCCACACCATATAGCACGACACAACTCGATCTATTTAGCGTGTACGGTGATCTTGTAAAGTCAAACCTACATCTGGTTAAACCACTAATAAACAAGACGAAACTATATTAACCTGGCCATTCTATTTTCATCAGTGAAATAAGCGTACTAAATGTATCCATGCTAGTTTTTGTTCACTTTCCTACAAATGTTTTTTTTGGCAGTAACTGCAGTTTTAAAAACGTGTTTTTTTTTGTGAATTTTCACTCTCGGTACGTAAAGAGACATCACTTGTTGGTCATATGCACTTCAAGCGCAAATATAAAAAAGCATAGTTCTGGGCAAATGACCACAGATGCGACGGTATTTAATCGAAGACTGAAGCAGTGGAAAGATGCCTGATATTTTAACTCGACTCTTGCAGTTCACATGGTCAGCGCTATGATTCATAGATTAAAAGGATGATATGGGCATTAATGGATGACAAAAAACGCAACTGACACCCATGGAAAATAATGCGCATGCACACACACACCCCCGTGGTACGGTAAGCAGGCAACCCTCATGGCAAATGGCGATTCAAGGAATATCTTTAAGATCCAAGTGTTTGACATATATTTGCAAATCAAACTCTGGAAGGCTCCCTTCATTGATATTAAATGTGCAACAGCAAAGAGAGCGAGTGTACCATGGGCAGCCTAAAGCAATTGTATAGTTTGTATTGAGTCACCTCAACACTGGACACCAACAGGGTTCCATGCTGTCACAAGAAATGTATTCAGTATACCATTTCTCAAGCGCACGGAAAACAACACATAATCGTGGTCTCATACACAAACCCAGAGGTAACCGCACTTACCGTGCGCTTGATAATAGCGGCCGGCCCAATTGCAGTTGTTGTCAAGGCCTCGGGTACCTGTCAAAGGCACAAAGGCCAGCATTTTATTTAAGTGCTCATTTTATAATTAAAGAATGTCTATGAGATAAATTACAATAATTAGCTGAAGGTCCTGGATTGTTCAGTTATAGGTCTTTGTAGTGGCAGATGGCAGTAATCTATGAAACTGCTAAAACAATATGAAAAATAATTTCTGGCAATAAAACAGGTGTTAAGATGTTCAAAGAGCAACCTTTTGCATGGAATAAAGTCTGTTAACAACAAGTTGATCCTAAAACAATATTAGGCCCATTTTTCGAAAAAAAGTATCACCGCTGTTTAACAGCAACAATCAATACACCTTTCTAAGTAAAACACAACCATCTGCTATTTTACAGCATTACAATCCTCCACTAAATTAATTTGAAGAATTAAAAAATTGAGAAAAAAAAGGCTTTGAAATCTTCTGTTGAATCGGTGTAAGACTGAGTGTGGGTTTGAAAAATGTGTATGTTTAGCCTGGAAATAAGGACACTGTACGTACACACAATTCATATATAAACAATGCACCTTTACATTACACTGGTGGATGAAAGGGGAAGGGCAACTTCTGATACAAGCACACATGGCCTTGCTCCCAAGGAGTGTGCTTATATCTAGCATATTCTGGAATACAGGATGATCCATTTATAGATACCCCATAAATATAGAAATTGTAAAAAAAATACTTTAAAGCATCTGCGTATCTCCCACCAATCTCAATACACACATTACATCGTTTAACACTCTCCTCTGTAAGATATGGAGCTGTCACTTTCACAACATTAAATCACCTGTTGAGAAGAGGCTCATTGAGAAATCAATGGTGTATGTATAAATGGATCACCCGGTGCACTGATTATTAATAAAGCATGCAAAACGCAGATGCATCTCAAGATGGTGTTTTAAATGGGTTAGGAGATGCAATTTGATAGCAGAGGAGATCAATTCTAGAGAGAGGAAGAAAGTATGAAGATAGAGAGTGACAAGCAACAAAGCAAAGTTTCGACTGCACATGCACATTACATGCAGGCTGTAAAGAATGGCACGTGTCATGCATTCACCAGCGATGTACAGGTGTGCATGTGACCAGTGAGTGTCATTCAAGGTTACATGGGCATGATTTGATGAGCAATGCACATCTGTTCACTACATGGTTCCCAACAAAGCTGTCATTTATGGAATGATAAAAGTTGTGACGAAAATCACACCTTCTTTCCCGCAGGGGATTTTTTGGGTGTAACATTTTTATCTTCTTTTTGCTCCTCCTTTTTCCCCCGTTTGGCTGTCTCACCACTTGCTGCCGCCTGGGCAAAACAGAGAGAAGACGAATAATCTCCTCTCAAGTCTGATCTGACCAAGGCACCCCAATTTAAAATCCACAACTGATTCCGGTTTGACACTACTAGTTCACTAACTACGCAGCTCCCGCCAGAGAGCAAACCCTGACAATGCTAAATCCATATAGTTAAATTACTGACAAATTGTTACATCTTCTTTCGTATGGCTGATGTAAATGCGGAGCAACAACTACAATTTCACATTCAGGTGGTCCGTAGTCAAGCCAGACAACTGCATCAGGAGCACCAAAAGTGTATCACTGTAATGTCTCCGTTGTATTTGTGGATCGGGCATAGAATCATAATGTGTTATATGGTCTGTTCTGGATGACCAGTAGCACACTAGAGAGTTTTAAATGTTCCATTTGTTTGTACATCTGGTATCCGCATCTGCCATAATTTGTGCCGATGTCGTTTAAGGTGGAACACGAGCTTCGTGGAATATTAAAATCAGGGCATCTTCTGCTCTGGGTCTTTCACAATGTGTTTGTCTGAATTCCTCCATAACACTATCTTACATTGAGTCATGAAACTAATACAGCACACATAGCCAACCACAATATATTTACCCCAACTGCTGTGTAAGCCCATGTAGACAACCACGTCCATGCTCTTAAAACTCAAGCTGGCATTGCTAAGCAAGAGGTAACATTCTTCAAACGAAGGCCTGTGAGAATAAGTCATCATTTGGGGGCCATGGTGACAAAATATTTCCCTCTAACAGCGAACCTTTGATGACGGAAAAATCACATATCGACTCCGCAAAGTTGCGTGGATTTTCATAGTATGCCGCATCGCACATAAAGCCTGTTACCTGTATGGCTTGACTTAAAAAAAAACTCGGAAGGCCAGGGGCTTCATTTCACTGGTATATGCTTCATCTCACGGGCAAGATATGTGATTAACTTGGTGGCAATATGCAAGAGGATTTGCAGAAAGAAAGAGCTCACAGTGGAGTATTACAATAAGGCATATTGACAGAGAAAGCACTCTGATCCACCGTCTAAAAAAATCTTAAGACAATTAATACAACTCACCTTCTTCTTGTTAATAAATTCCTCCACAGCATCGAGGGCCTGTAGAAAGCGCTTGCTCTTGTTTGCCTTTACCATGTCCTCCTTGTGCGGCTGAAAAGGCTTCAGCTGGTCCACTTTGATCCACGCACTGAGAGCATAAAGTGAACAGGAGCGCATGGATTACAAGTCCTAATATTTGAGTAATTACACGTACAATTGCATGGCAAAAGCATGATAAAATTCCTTACTGGTCTTCGGTTCCAAAAAACTTAACAAAATAACAAGGTTTTCCTTTTGGCTTCTTCATGTCTTTTGGTGGCTTCACAATCTGCAAAGAGGTACAAGAACATTTAACTTCGTGAGATTAATTATGGAGAGAAATTGAATATGTACCAACCAAGATAGTAATTGTACTCACTGCAATAACTGCATGGATTAGCAGGAGATTAAATGAAATTATATTCTTGCATATGGCAACAATGCGAAGGACCTAAATGCAAATGTTGAGGTCTGCTAGCCACGAGAGGGCTCCAGGAAAGGGTTTTTGTAGTTGTGCTATTCCTCCATGGAGCACCGACTACAAGTGGTTTATTATATGGTCCATAGTTTGGGTCGCAAGGCCAGTCACACTGTGGCTTTCCTTTAACATTCCATTTAAGAAGTTGTATCCATTGACTTGCTGATGTTCTGATGCGGTTGATGGTGCACCAGTGACTTTGAGGAATGTCAAAGGCAGGTGCGATGTTAGGGTCTCAACCTAGGAGTTTATAATCAATGTCCGCGTTGTTCCACCATGTTTGCAAGCATTCTTCCTGATTTGGATGGGATTCTATAATAGTGACAGCACTATCCCAGAAGGGGGATCCAGACTTGAGTCAGTGGCAAGGCGAATCGGAAAAGTTTTGGTTGACGGGTAGGTTGTCATTGGCAATAAAACAAGTTTATGTATTTGCAGTTTGCATGTCTCCGTGGCTATATGGTGGCAGAATGTTCGCCAGGGCATGTGTCGGTTTCGTGTTATTTAATTGTGCATCCAACAGTTGTGTGTACGAGATGCCATACCAGGCTGGAGCACAATACTGTGCCAATGATTAGATCAGCAATCAGTTGAGGCGCCCCAGGTGATTCCTGGACGTTTCTGTAGCAGGGCGATTCTTTTTTTGGGTGGGAGATCGTAACCTCGTGGCCCACATGTGATGTGTTTTCGTTTTGTCTTAAACAATTAACACTGTCATCTGGGTGAAATGGACGTCGTTAATTCGAATCCAGATGTGGTCATAAGTACTACATTAAAAGGAGTACAAATATACGAGTTCAAAAAAAGGCCCTGGCTATTGTGTGGTTCTCTACTGCAATCTCATAATATAAATGTATCAATTTCCACTGCGGCGTTAACCTCAGATCCAGCGAAATCAAGGAACAGTGTTTAACACCGGCCCTCCCATGCCACAGCCAGTATTTTGTCCACTACGTCTACGCAAGCAGAAACTTAGCAACAACAGAATACTAAGAACAAATCAACCACTGCGTGCATAGAGATGAATTTGTACACTCCAGGGATTAACTGAAGCAAGTGTGCTAAATGGCAGAAAAGGAAACGCTGTGGAAGTAGCGGACTGCATAACCACCTTGCGCTCATGTATTTTGCCTTCAAAATGAAACCAAATATTTGGAGAGTAATCTAACTCTGGCCTCTTGAAGTGCTGTGAAGGGCCATTGGCCCAAAAGTCAACGGTTATAGACTTAAATTTTGACTTATTCGTCAGTAACACCGTCTTAAAAAGAATGTGTGTAGTTTTGTTAGCATGCCTGAGTTTTATAGGTACGGGATGACTGGGTCATGTTTACAGGTGCGGGTCACAAGTATGGCCAGGGTATCTGGAGTTGAATCATCTGGAGCAGTGCTCTTCACTCATTTTCAGAGGCGGGCACCACTTTCGCTGATAAGACATCATCAGTGTTGAGGGCCGCCACACATTCGAAACCACCGGGGGTTTGACAGAACAATGATGATGGGGGAAGGGGGGGTTGTCAAGGGCCGTACTAAAGGTCACCAGGGGCCGCCAAGTGGCCAGCGGGCCTTGTAATGAAGAGCACTGATCTGGAGCTTTTAGAGGTGAAGGGTTTCGTGGAGAACACAGGAGTGAGTCGCCTCGTCGGCGTGAGATCTGTGCAACGATGGATGGATGGGATCTCTGAGCGGCACAGCAAAGTTGTGCGATGGCGCGTGGTGGTTTTCCCAACATTTGCGCTTTTCAGTATTTATTCACACGAGCAGCTGAGGAGTTACCCTGCGTTATCAGTGATGGTTTGTGTTTAAACACATGCAATAAAGACGAGTGAAACACTGGCCACCTTACAACTCGATCAAATGAAAAAAAATAAACGCCAAATCAACGTGGAAAAATGTGTCGTGATATCAATTGAATAAATGCAGTGTGTACTGTACTGATATACAGCAGTAATTCTACTGCAATAATGTACATCGCCTTAAAGGCAATGTATTTCAACGTTAGCATTTAAAAACACAGTCGCGTTAGATGCGTTGCTCTAATAGTTTGGTAGCACTGCAGTCGTACTTTATTGTAATATCCGTACGGTTTGCTACATCGCCAGTATTAAACTTAAACCACGTACGCTTTCTCAGCCAATATTATCCTTCACAAACACAGTGTTGGGTGGCGACAACCACGCGATAGTACAGTCCCTGTATTATCCGTGCTATTAGCATTGTCGGGACATGGAACCGTGTATCACTTTTGGCGTTCTATTGCAGCGTTATACAAAGCGGCGCCTGTTGTTTGTAGCTCGCTGGCTTTTTTTGGCGTTTCGTGAGCGTTCGTCAGGAGGGCGCGCGCGCCGCACCGCGCGCTCCGCCATGTCCCCTAGCCCTGGGCCTACTCTACCACCGCCCTCACTCCCCTCACTCCCCTCACCCCAGCGCATACCTTGCCCGGCCACGGCGGGTACTTGCCCATCTTGCCCCTGCACGGACACAAAAGCAGCACAGGGCACGCGGCGGCGGTGAGCTCGCGGGCACGGCGGCGGCGGCGGGGGGGGGCGCGCGCGCATAGCTCATAGCGAGCGGGCACACCACAACAACACGTTGAACGTCGAGGCCGAGGCGAGTAAGGTGCGGTGGGTGGGTTTGAGGCGGAGAGGGAGGAGGTGGGTGCGGGTGCGGAGGAGGAGGCGGGGGGGAAAGAGCGAAGAGGAATGAAGAAAGAACGGGGAGCGAACAACTCCGTCTCACCAGACGAGCTCTCCTATCTTGAAGTGCGCCGCCATGTTTGACCCTCGCCTGATGAGGGGGGGGGCGAGCGGGGCGGTGGATATGGGGGGGGGGGAGAAGAGGGCGCGCGCAGGAGGGCGGGGAAGAGGGCGGGGGCAGGGGGGGCGGGGCAGTTGATTGGGGGGGGGATATGGCACGCGGAGGGGGGCTCTAGGGGGGGGGGGGAGAAGGCGCGCGCAGGGGGGCGGGGCAGTGAATGGGGGGGGGGGTGGCACGCGCAGTGGGGCGGGCAGTAAGGTGGGAGGGGTGAAGGTCACGTGGTGCGCGTCGCGGGGGGGTTTCTCGCGCGGCCCTACCCCCACCAGCTAAAAAAAAACAACCCCCCCACGTGACACGCGGCGGTTGTTGCGCAATCAACGCGCGCGCGCGCGCTAGGCACGTCACGCGGCGGCTGGCGGCGCCGAGTGGTGATGTTCGGTCACGTGACGCCAGAACACAATTGCCTCGTTACGTCACTCGGCGAGCGACGTCACTACGGGAGTGTCGATCAGTCGCGTTTTTGGCGTCACGCGACCAATTCTGGCGTCATGTTACGTCACCACCGCCGCGTGACGTAAACGAACAATCGCGTTCTGGTGTCACGTGACCGTACACCCCCACCCCCCCTGGCGATTGTGTCACGTGACCGTACCCCCTCCACCCCTTGGTTATTGTGTCACGTGGTGGGTACCCCCAACATGAGAGACTGCGTTAGCACAATAACACCGGCCACTGTTATAATCTTAGCTCTCTCGGTAAAGTCACGTTGAAGGGAAACAATAAAATAATAAAATGTATATAAAACAATAAAAAATTCTCACGACGTTTCGACCATAACCATAACCGTTTGTTTTATTGTTTTATATACATTTTATTATTTTATTGTTTCCCTTCAACGTGACTTTACCGAAAGAGCTAAGAATATGAATTACTGCAGTCACGAAAGCTTTAAATCAAAACCGACCACTGTTATTCATAAACACTAACCTTCATCATCATTAGCTATTGTCTATCTGCTGCTGGATAGTGGTTTCGCCCCACGAGAGCATGTTTTGTCTTGCCTCGCCGAGTACGGTTATTTTGTATGGTTATTGTGTCGTTCTGACCCCGTGCCCCGACTGGATGACCGTGAAATCGAGCTCTCATAGCTCATCGGATTCCTCCAGTTTAAATAAATATTCCGTTACTGATCTTACAATAGCCCCGGGCAACCCTATCCAATGCAGGTACTAAGGTTTTCAAACCGTAAAAGATAAAGGTTATGCAACCGGATAACATTTCGACTTTTGGCCAATTTTTCAGAGTTCGACTATTGTGACACGCACAGTGGCATTCACGAAAAGTCGGTTCTTAGGCAACAGGCGTTGTTCCCCATTCACAATACGGAAAGATAAACACACAACGGATGAGTTCTGCTTTACATTGATGCAGTTACATAACTACTGACGTGGGGTGGCGCTACACACACACACAAGTGAGCACTAAGCGAAGTGTAAAAAGGTCTCAGGCACGGCGTGTGTTACATATATCCTGTAGAGTCTGGGGTTATGAGAGCCACCCCGGTCATATATTCCACGTGCTACAGTCGTCTCCGTTCAAATACAAATACAAATCGTTACACGCTTCACGCAACTAATTATTGTGGAACAACAACACTCTACATTATTGTCAACATCCAGGAAGTTAGAAAGTTAAGCCCTACACTAAACTGTAGCCCGTAAATTATAGAGACTCAACAGCAGATTAACATTTGAGAAAAAGCCACTGGTTTTTTCAGAACTCAAATTGTTTTACATTAAAATGGTTAAGTGTGACATTCACACGTGATTATGAGCAGAATTAACACACACGATTAATGCCTGGTCGTTGACATGTGGTTGATGCAACCACATGTCAATGGTTGACGCAACGTTGTATAATTACTGTGAATCTTTTTTCCGAATGGCTGGTGTTGATGTAAAGCAACAACTACAGTATAATTTTAGATTCATTCGTTCGATCCAGACAATTGCTGTGATGCCTTATTCGTATTTGTGAAACGGGCATTCAATCGTTCTATCTTCCACGGTCTTGTTTTGGTTGACCATAATCGCACATCTATTGGGGAGTTTTTTTATTTTCCATCCATTTGTGCATCGAATATCCGCATAGGGGGGCATCCATTGAGTAGGTACGCAAAAATCTGTCAAAACTTGACCCCCCCCCCCCACCTGCGTACGCTTGACAACCCCCCCCAAATCCTACAGAACGGCCGATATTTATTCTAGATTTGAAGCTTTCGTGACTGCAAGGATCCATACTCTTAGGTTCTATTCGGTAAAGTCACGAAAGGTAAAAATAAAATAACAAAAAAATCACGACGTTTCGGCCACAACACAAGTGGCCTTCATCAGGTGAAGGGACCGGACTGTCCAGAGGACAGCGTTGGAGTGAAGACAGCAAGCCCAGGTCGCGTCCTTTAAGCAGAAACGATCAAGGATTCATACTATTAACGTGTTTAAGCAAACAGATAGTTCACCGCCGGCTGCATTATTATTATTGAGGCTTCACCCCCCCCCATACGCAAACGTACGCATTTGGGTTAACCCCCCTCCCCCCTCGATGCGTACGTACTAAATGGATGGCCCCATATGACATGGCATGGGAATGAGGTGGCAGAAGGGGTAAGGAACAGACTAATTCACTTTGTGAAACATTATCAGCGGTTGATCCTCTTCATTTTATTGATAAATCCAGGAAAGCCGCACTCGGTGGTATGACTTTTTCAGGAGGGTCCTGCATTGGGGTTTTTAAAAATATATATTTTCAGACAATTAATGATAGATGCTACGTTAGAGCAATATGAAAAAAGCCATGAAAAACATGCTTGGCTTTCTTGAGTCAGTTATCTATTTTTAAACTCCAAACGTTTCCTGTTTATGTACTCATGCTGCGTGGGTGACCATTTGTCATTGTTTGACATTGCGCAATCCTTGCTACATTGCGCAAACTTGCCCATATTTGGTCAGCAGCTGGCCTACCTTATCAGAATAACAGCTTTTTTAGACATTCAGTCAAACGTATGCAATCGAAACATTCTGTGCCTTTCGATTGTCCCGTAAGTTGATACACGGTCATATATATGGTTTCACACCCACCCACTTCTTCAGGTGGTTGCCATGGTTTCACACCCACTCACTTTCCTCCAGTGGTTGTCATGGTTTCACACCCACTCCAGTGGTTGTCATGGTTTCACACCCACCCACTTCTTCAGGTGGTTGTCATGGTTTCACACCCATCCACTTTCCTCCAGTGGTTGTCATGGTTTCACACCCACTCCAGTGGTTGTCATGGTTTCACACCCATCCACTTTCCTCCAGTGGTTGTCATGGTTTCACACCCACTCACTTTCCTCCAGTGGTTGTCATGGTTTCACACCCATCGAGTTCCTCCAGTGGTTGTCATGGTTTCACACCCACTCACTTTCCTCTCGTGGTTGTCATGGTTTCACACCCACCCACTCCAGTGGTTGTCATGGTTTCACACCCACTCACTTTCCTCCAGTGGTTGTCATGGTTTCACACCCACTCCAGTGGTTGCCATGGTTTCACACCCGCCTCCAGTGGTTGTCATGGTTTCACACCCACTCCAGTGGTTGTCATGGTTTCACACCCACCCACTCCAGTGGTTGTCATGGTTTCACACCCACTCACTTCCGCCGCAGCGACCTTATATGCACCACATACAGTGTCACAAGAATGCGGACGGGAGTTTTTTTGTTCAGCTGCTGAAAAGAAAGTTCGCGTGAAGGTGAGTTGCGATTACTTTTGGCACGTAGCCTTGTTTGTTTACACACGAGTATTAACAGTCAAAAACACACATCCGTTTAATAAGTTTTGTAATTCGCGATACAATCAATGTGGAGGTTAATCGCCTGGTTCAACAACAACGACAACAACTACAACAATTTACTAGATACGTGACGGCTGTGTTTCTAATTCTGAAATCGAACGCGCCTATCGCATACCGTGTCAACCCGTACGGCCAACCCGTTCTTCTTGTTCTTTGGTTCTTTTGTTCTTTGGTTCTTTCTTGTGTACGGGAATTGAGTTCGCGCGTTCCCGCACGCCGGCGCCGGCGGCGTTACAGCCGTTTCACAACGAAACACGTGCGTCCATTTGTTTGAGTTGCTCCCTTGTCACGGGGACCTGTTACTGGTAGGAACGAAGTTGTAAACTGAGTGTACCAGCCTGCAATAGATTCATGTGTCCGTCCGTCTGTCCGTCCGTCCCCTTTCAATACTTTAACGAAGTGAAATCTCGTGCTGTTGGGGTGTAAAAATAAAATCGCGCAAAATTCCAATGTTCCTACCAGCCCACCCTGCAGGGACCTGTTATTTAAGAGGTTGATTAATTATAAGGGCCAATAAGGTCTCTTAATTGGTTTGTAATGAGGTAGGCGCTTGATGGAGGAGGGGTTCGATATGCACGTTATCGAAAGTTGCGCCAAATCTTGCTTCGCCCCGTGCCGCGCCGGGCAAGGTCTCTGCGTAGTATAATAATACTAATAATACAATGCCGCATATTTGTTGATGACTGTCCGCTGACTTAAGCGCAGCGAAGGTCCAAGACAACAATTACAACACATGCATAGGGTGTAACGCACACACTGACACGCATTGTTTTAAAAAGTTATATATTTTTTTCGTGTGTGTTTTGTTTGTTGGCCTCCCGTGTCCGCCGTACCTGCTCCGAATTCGCTACGCACGCTGCGAAATAAGTCCCACGAATATAATAATAGGGTTTTTCCCCTTTTTTTCTGGCAACAATACCGGAAACTTTTTCTTTTACAAGGATTCATGTCTGCATTAACCACAATACCTGCATAGGAATAGGTTTTACCCCTTTTAACTGGCACAAAAACGGACACCTTTATTCAAGGCATCATGTTTGCAATAACCACAACACAAGCAGTCAAAATGCAAACAAAAAAAGACAACTCTGACAATGATGATGGCACTGTCCTTGAATTTGATTGGTCCACACCCGAGACAGCTTTTCTTAGAGCCTAGTCTCCACTGGTGTTGGACCAGAAGACGCCAAAAGGCGTACAACTCAAAAACAGCGCACAATCAGAGTATTGAGGGCTCGGGTGAGCATTTACATTATGAGACCTCCTTTGCCAGTAACAAGATATAGTAATGGGTTTTACCCTTTTTAACTGGCACAAAAAACTGACACCTTTATTCAAGGCATCATGTTTGCAATAACCACAACACAAGCAGTCAAAATGCAAACAAAAAAGACAACTCTGATAATAATATGCACTGTCCTTGAATTTGATTGGTCCACACCCGAGTCGGCTTTTCTTAGAGCCTAGTCTCCATTGGTGTTGGACCAGTTAAAAGGGTAAAACCTATTCCTATATCTTGTTACTGGCAAAGGAGGTCTCATAATGCACAATTCCTGCAGTCAAAATGTAAACAAAAAACATACTATGATTATATTTGATGCATTGTCCTTGAAACTGATTGGTCCACACCAAGGGACTGCTTGGTGTGGACCAATCAAGGGACGGCTTGGTGTGGACCAATCAGTTTCAAAGACAATGCCACATATTATCATAGTATGTTTTTTGTTTGCATTTTGACTGCAGGTATTGTGGTTAATGCAGTAACATGAATCCTTGTAAGAAGGTTTCAGTTTTGTTTGCCAGAAAAAAGGGGAAAAACCCTATTATTACATTTTGGTACTGGCAAAGGAGATCTAATGAAGTCCCATGAAGTGCACACGGAAGATTACAAAGACAAGTGACATTGTTGTGCTCACTGCTAATCGATGTCTCGCATTTCGGAGGGAATCTAAATATAAAGCTGTGCTGAAACCAAACATGCGCATTCCCGATGGACCGGACTCGTGGACCCATCGCAGTGGTTTCAACGACAGTATTCATTACAGTACAGTAATAAAACAAATATATATCGCCCGCTCCCTGTGAGCGGGCGAGGCGCGACGTCCACCCCCTCCACTCCACCCTCCTCCTCGTCGTCGTCGTCGGCCTCTCGCCGGGCCCCCGCCGATCGAGTGATCGGCCTCCCCCGCGCCAGCGCCCTCTCTGAGGGGCATAGCTAAGTGGCTGGCTCACCACCGCCCGGGGTTATCCCGCACACGCCCCACGTACACCACCACCACCACCACAACAGCGAACGCGTGCACGCGCGCGCCCCTGCAGGCGTGTATTTCGCACACACGTGTGTGTTAACGCTAAGGGGCCGTCCATAAATGACGTCACGTGATGTCGGACGATTTTTTTACTCCCCCCCCCCCTCGTCACACGGCGTCACAAAAAGTCAGACCCCCCCTCAAATATGACATCACAAAGCTCTGCCCCCCCCCCCCCCAAAAAAAAAATGTTTTTTTAATGTTTGGTGATAAACCATTCACTTTTCTCTTTAATATTTACATAACACTACATCTTTATATAAATGCCCGCTATAACTACCAAATAAAGTCTCATTACTCGGCCGCTGTTGGACTTTGAGATGACGTGACAAACATGTTGCGATAGTGCCCCCCTCGCCCCCAATTATAACCTGCTGCTTATGTTAAACCACAATATGAGAATTATTATGATCTTGCTGTCTGTGTTCACAGATTCTTCACAATAATGGCTTTCATGTCCAGCCTGTCTGAGATGTCTCCCTTTACCCTGGTTCTGACATTGGCTGCCTTCATTTTGTCTGCAATGTGAGTGCTTTCCGCTTTACTTGAATGGTTTTATATTTATAGAAACATTTGTAAGGTTAGCAAGGTCACTCGTAAATTTAATGATAAAATGTCATTAAATAAGGGTACTGCGGCATGTTTGATTAGATAATATTTTGAAAAAAAAAAATAAAGGCGTGTGATATGAAACGTCTATGAAATATGATCATGAATAGGAAGTGTGTACAGGTATGTATGAAACAGACAACATGTAAGTAAATATTTTTGGCCGCGGTGGATATTTATCGCATTTGTCACCCTAGGTGGTACCAAACAAACCCCATTGAATAATGGGATGTACTGTATATATATATTTCTCTAGTCAGGACTTGATTCAATTACAGTACTCTATGTCTAACCTTTGACAATGAGCTGTAACATTTGTAATCAGAGTGCTTCTAACCTTGGGGTGAGCGGTGAAGCAGTGGTTATCACACCATACTTTGAACCTAGCCAACCGGAGTTTGATTTCTGGCTATGGCCAACATCAGTGGTGAGTGACAATTGAAACAGTCCTTGGCATATCTCCAAATTTCACCAAGCCCACGCTCACCAGCTTGCAGAAGTATGGTCAAAACAACAACACGAGCTCAAATAGTAGTATATTTACAGAAAGGGCTTTGTTGTATATTATTACTATGATTATTTCTAACCTTATAAAACTCACTCACACATACACTGGGAGTGTCATGCTGCCAGATATGGCTGCAAGTTTGGTCGTACATGTTATGTATATCGTTTATTGTTACATTTTAATAGACGTTACTATGTATATTCATATTCTTAGCTCTTTCGGTAAAGTCACGTTGAAGGGAAACAATAAAATAATAAAATATATAAAACAGAATTTGTATTGTTTTATATATATTTTATTATTTTATTGTTTCCCTTCAACGTGACTTTACCGAAAGAGCTAAGAATATGAATTACTGCAGTCACAAAAGCTTTAAATCAGACGTTACTATGATTACTGTTGTTACATTGTGTTTTATAGCTTTATTTTGGTGATTTCGAAAACATTTGGTTAAGCCATGTTTCTTGCGGAAGTGCGGAGTTGGCCTGATAACTTGAATCTAAATTGTCTTATGGTTGTTATTGTTTGACTTGCATCACACTAGGATTTTTGCACACAGCGTTGTAATGCGGTGTTTTTTTCTGTAAGATTTGCTGGTTTATCCCAGGATGTTTCTATTGCACGTCGTCGCTTTAAGATGTTTCTCTGTTCATATTTTGTTTGTTGCTGTTGCACCCGACTCAAGAGCCGCATGGCTCACAGGGCTATACCTAATAAATGAAACTTGATTTGTATCCTCCCAATACAAATCTGTTCTGTCGCAGTTATTTGCTATGGCCATACCAAATCTTCAAGAAGATGGGAGTTCCTGGGCCAACACCTTTCCCGCTAGTGGGAACTTTCCACCACTACCTCAAGGTCAGAACTCTAATATGAATATTAGATGCAAATGGGGGTTTCTAGAACATACTATGAATGATTGTGACCATTGGATCAGACATCCAATTACATCATGTTGCACACAGGGTTGCCACCTCTCCAGGTTTTCCCAGGATCATCTTTTTGAGGTAGCCAATCCTGGAAAATATGTAAGACTTCCCAGGACATTAAAAGTCCCTGTTTTTGTCAGTTACTTAATAAGAATTAGAATACACCACTCAAAGCAACTCGTTTGCATGCACCTTTCGATATTGCGCAATATTCTTCTTTCCATGATGTGTCCTGGTTTTTGTGCCTCAGAGTTGGCAACCTTTTCGCAGTTTTACATGACATAAATGTCAGCATCATTTCACAAATACTACTGACCATTCAGTATTTGTAAACATTTGGTATGGATAATATTTGGTAATTAAGTGATCTTTCTTAATTGTATGACCCTGGAATTAACCTTGAAAGATAGATTTTTAGCTCAATGGGACCTGTCCCTGGGTTTAACGAAAGTAAATAAATAAACAAAAGCACCATGCATATGCAGATTGTCATGTTTACTGATTTTTTTTTTTCACACAGGGATTCAGAGAATTTGATGCAGAGAGTTTCAGAAAATACGGCAGAGTCTGGGGGTAAGCTTCTATCACTTGTGATTTAAGTGTGAGGACCAGGGCTTAATTTCCCACTTGGTAATTTCCCGAAATCGCTGCTAAGCTGGCTTGTTGTAGAGATAATTAACCAACATAAGGCATTACCATTTTGAGTATAAGGTATACCGAATAATTGTATACTTGTGTACCCGATATTCCTATGAGTATATAAACACATTATTTGGTAATGCTGCTGCTTTGTTAATGGGGCACATGCACAAATAAAAAAAAACTAAACATCAATAAATTTCGATTTAAAGCTTTCGTGACGGCAAGGATTCATCTTCTTTGGTTCTTTCGGTAAGGTCACGTAGGATGAGAATAAAATAATAAATTAATAAAATAAAATAACACAATAAAATTCTCACGACGTTTCGGCCACAACACAAGTGGCCTTCTTCAGGTGAAAGGAACAGACCTGTCGGGACGACAGCGCTTCACCTGAAGAAGGCCACTTGTGTTGTGGCCGAAACGTCGTGAGAATTTTATTGTGTTATTTATTTTATTAATTTATTACTTTATTCTCATTCTACGTGACTTTACCGAAAGAACCAAAGAAGACATGAATAAAATCAAAATATCTAATAGGTGACGTTTCAGGTAAAGGCCCTGCTTCACGCCACATAAAAAGGCCAATTGGCCGAAATGTCACCCGTTATATATTTTTTTCTCTTGAAGGCAGTTTCATTTATGAATGTAAATTGTATTTTGTGTTATGCATGATCCTGTGAACATGATTATAGGAATATAGGGCACAATGAGAACAAACTAAGGCAAGATGCATGTGGCTTGCCAAAATACATACTGGATAAGATTCAAACTTAAAGACAAAAATTTAACCATTGGAAGAATTATATTCTTGGTTCTTTCGGTAAAGTTACGTAGAAGGGAAACAATAAATAATACAAATATAAAATAATACAATTCTCACGACGTTTCGACTGCAATACAAGCAGTCATCATCAGGTGTGAAAACCACAGCAAGAAAATTTGAAAATAGTGGCGTTTTTTGAACGTTAGCACCACGGAGAGCGATTTGGCAGTTATTCATATGGACGAGTCCATCTATGTTCGGAAAAGAGGAGGGAGGAGATGAAAATAATGGATGCGGTCTGAAAGCCACCGTAAGCGTGAATAATCAATTAAGACCCGAAATGGTTTATCAAATCCTTCCAATGATAGCTAAGCCAGAATCCATCTTCTCGGTTGAAATTGTCTCTGTGTTTGTATATGTGGATAGCCTCATGAACGAATCTCTCATGGTAGCCAGATGGCTTTCAGAGAACCTCCGTCTTGGAGAAGTCAATGTCATGTGAGCCTACTAACAGTGATCTGCCATTGGAAGCATTCTTTTTATTTAAGGAAACTCTGGCATGATTTGCAGTTAAATAATTGTATAAATGACCAAAGGTAAAGGATACTGACGCCACTTCTAGCGGAATGGCCTCCCCCCTACTTGAGGGAGCAATAGAAAATGAATGCCTCTTAGATGGTAATGGTATTTTATCCTACTCGTCCACACTGACCAGACATCTTGAAAGAGGTGAGAGTACACACACTTTACAGCACCGCACATGATGGCATTTAAGAAACAAAACCGCATTATTGTTTTGATTGCCGTGCCCTGGCAAGCGTAATATGTCAACGTATGTATCTTGAACTTCTTTCGCACCGTATGTAGCCAACCGTGCTAACCATGGCAGCCTCCTGAGATATGAATAAGCAGTGTTTATGTTTAGTTTAAAAAAAAGTTATATACTTGGAATTTGTCATGGTTCTGACACATTTTGGACCAGGAATACCAGAGCAATCACACTGAGTGAGCAACTGAAAAAGGGTCAATGATTGGCGTATACATTGCAGAAATATGAGCAATATTTTTCAAACAAATCCAGCACCTGCAATGATGTCTTTCTTCTCTGTACATGTACAGGATTTACGATGGCCGGGTACCCGTGCTCATGGTGACTGACACAAACATGCTGAAACAAATCCTCGTCAAAGATTGCCTGGAGTCCTTCACCAATCGCCGAGTGAGCAGTGGAGATAGAAGACAAATTAGCAACGCTGAGTTTCCCAGCTGAGGTTTATGTAATTTATAGATATTTAATTTCTTGTGTTGTAACAGAAACTCGAGCAAATTGTATGATCAAGATGTTGGTTGTGGTACTGTGAATTTGAAAGCCTCAACTGTCCCATTTTCCCAGTATCTGGCTACGTGACGTACTCTACAGTATTAATGAATGCAATTCCATACTGTTTTAATTTATTTTACCCATAAGGTATCACCTAATTTCACTTTTCTTTCAACAGAAATTTGGACTTAGCGGGCCCATCAAAGATGTTCTGCTCATAGCTGAAGATGAGCACTGGAAGCGTATCCGAAATGTGCTGACTCCAGCGTTCAGTGGCGGAAAAATCAAGCAGGTAAAGACGTGCATTTGAAATAAAGCAGCGTTGGCAGCTCTATAGAATGTTGTTTTATTTAAAGTTTTTGTTGTAATCACGATTGCTGAGCACTGGACAACAGACTCAAAATGCCAAGCAGCCAGCAACAAACAGTACTCTTGAATTAATCGATTTTTATATATAATTGTGTTCTTAAAACCATGCCCTGGAACTGACACTGATAAAAACCTCTCTCTCTCTCTTCCAGATGTGTCCCCTGATTCAGCGCTGTGCTGAAGTGCTGGTGCAGAACCTCCACGAACCGTGCCAGTTGGAACAACCAGTGGATTTAAAAGAGTAAGCTATGAAAGCCACCGTTGGATTTCTTTAAATCGCATTTTACTCACATGAAAGGTCAGTGTGGTGTGTGTGTGCTGTAAATGAACTTAAGGTGTTCAACACAGTTTGATGTGTGTCATTCCAGCAAGGCGTGGTGGGTATGTGTGTTAAAGGAACAGTTCATGTGTAATGCATTTTGTTAATCACCATCAATACCAGTGACAAGATTTCTAATTTTACGCAAGACACACATGCATATTCATCCCTCTTGCCTTAAACAGCCAATATCTTTAGTGCCCCAATGCCAACCCAGTTTTATATAATAAATCTGCATCCCTAACCAATGAGTGCCGATTTTTGCTTTTCTTCTTGTACTAGAGTTGACGATATTTACCGCTATTTTATTTTTAGTAACCGCTGTACCAGGATTGGTTATGCCAGTACCTGATCATACATTGCGACGTGGATGTATATATTATCTAAATGCAACTGCATCTCAAAACGCTGTACAGAACAGTAGAACATGAGCATCCTCTGGAAAGGAGGCCTACTTATTTATAGAGATAGAGAAAGTCACAGGCAGATGAAAACAAGAAGGTCTTGTGCATGCACTTGAACAGATGTGGGGAGCTTACATTGCTGAGGGAGGGGAGTTTCAGACTTTGGGAGTTACAGAGAAAACGAGTTACCTCCCACTGAGTGTAGGTTAACGAGGGGCTTTGATAGCCTTGGTTGCTGGAGCTGAGAGTGCATGGGTGGAGTGAAATGGGAATGGAGCGGTTGTAGAGCTGACTCTAGAAAGGATCTTTAAGATAATGAGGGCAATACTGAAGTTGATCTGGGACCGATTTGGGAATCAGTGAAGAAATCGGAATATTGGGTTGTGGTTTCGTTTATGGGTGTGGGTGAGAAATTTGGCAGCGGCATTTTGGATCATTTGGAGTTTGAAGGTGAGGGATTTGGGGAAATTGTAAAGCAGAAAGTTTCGTTCGTCAACTCGGTATGTGAGCTGACTGATAAGATTCATTGCGAGCCTTCTCTATCTGAGCGCGAATTTCAAAGCCAAATTTATTATTTTGTCTCCCAAGTTTACGACCAATTATTTCATCGATTGTTGTGGCTGGTTTGAGATGCTACTAGCAGAGGTGCGATCCATCAGCGGGGATGTGATCAGCATGGCATAGGGAAGTCCTCCAATCAGAAATGGTTTAACAAAGGGCTGAACATTGTTATCGTTATTGTTCCTATTTAGAGAACCCGTTGCGCTGTGACGAAAAATAAAAGATAGCTGCCATTTTTGTACTTTTTCCTCACGATCCTGTACCTATAGCACTAAAATATATATTTTTATGGAATAAAATTCCAAGATATTTTGCATTGCCAGGCTTTTTTAAAAATATTCTCTAGGATTTCAATGATATTTGGTGTAATAATTACATTAATAGGAGCACAAATAAAAATGTTAGAACGATTTTATATGAACTGTGGTCAGTATTCTGTATTTGATACTCCCACCTCTTAGGTGTCACTGTTTTCCGAATTTCTACCGCCGTTTCAATGAAATGTAATGTTCAGTTGTTACACAAAACATCCCATTTAGCCAGTTACCCAGCTAGTTTGTTGAAGTGGCAACAGCCCACAGTCACTAACATTAGAGTTATTGTTGGGGTGGAGAGGAGTCCAGTCAGCAGCCAGCCAGGAAACTCGAGGCCTCGGTTAATATTTACCATGAGTATGATGGTCCTCTATATGGTTCAGATCAAATATGGTTTCAAATGGACATAACACACACGTGTTAATCATGCTGCATTTTGGCAGGATCAGTTTCACTTTGCAGTTCACAGCAGGTATTCTTTGGCTAATTGTTGCTTTCATGTGAATTTTCACCTCTAAATAGAATTTTTGGAACGTACAGCATGGACGTGATCGCAAGCTCAGCCTTCAGTACGGACGTGGATTCTCAGACCAACCCCAACGATCCATTTGTCATAAATGCAAAACTTCTTTTCAAATTAAACTTCGCAAGCCCTTTATTTGCTGTAATTTGTAAGTACCTTTTTACAACTATATGAATCAAAGCCAGTGGTGTTATCCTCACTTACAATTCATGAATAACTCAGTTTTCATATTTTATAGTTTCCTAAAAACATTATTCTGACAAACCAAAATATGTTGTCAGGTTTGTGAGCTCTCAAAAAAAAAATCTGCAAAGTATCAGTCAATTAACATTTATAGGATACATTTTTTTATATTTCATTTGTATTAACGTTGAGTGACATGACATAATCAATGTAAATTATTTCTTTCAGTGTTCTTCCCATTTTTGATCTCTCCACTCGAAAGACTGGGAGTGACTTTGTTTGATAAAAAAGCGATACATTTTTTCCATAAAATTGTTCAGCAAATGAAGAACAAACGTCAGAAAGGGCTGAATGACATGGTGAGTCCATAAAAAAATATTTTTTTAAAAATAACGTTTGAGGAGGAGGAGGAGGAGGCCATTAGGAATGGCTCACAGGGCTATACCAAATAAATGAAATGAAAAAAATGAAAAAGGAGAAGTTTTTATCCGAAATGCATCTCTTGCTCATAAACCCCAGAGCATTTTGGAGGTCACCTTGCACAACGAATGTGACGGGACGTGGAATTTTCTGAAGACATGCCTAAGCAAATTACATGGAAGTTTGAGACGATTAAAATAAAACACCGACATCAGGAGGTGAAACTCTTTGCTTCTGTTGAGAACAAAAAATCTAAACTAAATCAAATAAGGTCGAAACAAAATTTATTTGAAGAATTGCAAACCAATTAGACTGCTATCACATGATTATGAGTTACTCAAGAAATCGAAAACTGAATTGCAGACTTTTAAGAGGTCACCCACACGCAAACAGGATTTACAAGCGTTTTCCATAATTGACCACGTCAGTGTCATTAATCAGATCCTACAAAAGCCATGAATTCAAAACACCTTTTCCAAACCTTAAATATTAAATTCTGTCAAAAAACAAACTGTTACATGTGAGCGTTGGACTTATTGCTCGTTCGAACAAAAAAATGCATTTACTTTGTACAAATACAGCAATGACCCAAAGACACGTGTGTTTTAGTTAATAGACCGATGTACCTACTGCATACCTGTCAACCCCTTATCAGTGCCTACCTTATTACAGACCAGTTCAGACCTTATTGGTCACCCCGTGCCCTTATAAATCTCAACGTTCATCCTACAAAGTCCTGTCACAAGGGATAAACACATACGGACACATTTTTTCCCCGTATTGAAACGACGACTGTACGCCGTATGGACCTGAACACTCAATTTCCCTGTACAAGAATACAGGTAAATCGTATGGATTGAGAGGTATGCTACTGTTGTAAAAATGAGGTTTTCTTTTTGCAGGGAAGAGTAGACTTTCTGCAACAGATGGTGAATGCTCAACTTTCAGAAAACACCTCGAATGGAAATGAAGGGAATGCTCCTGCAGAAAAGTGTAGGAATTTTATTACAATATCCTCTCGTGTTGATGTAATTAATGTATTAGATCATTTGCATTCCGAATAGCATTGTTGGCTACGTATGGTGCTAAAGAAGTTCAACATACATACACATAATAAAGTCTTATGTGTAGTGGTGTACAGGATGCGGCAAGTCAGGAACCGTGGTGAGTTCTGGTCTGTGCTTTGTGTGTATGGTTGTTTGATGCGTACAGGGGGTATAGGTGTCCTCAATATTGACCCTTATAAGACTGAGGTCCTAATGAATGGCAATCAAAAGGTCACCGGACCTCCCGACCTCTTGACGTGTATTTGTGGGGATAATTGTGGAGGTCAGTCATGTATGGCAGCCGACCCAGAAACATCAAAATAACTGAGAGCGAAGATAGGAGCTCAGTGCGCTAAAATCAACGTGGGCATGCTAGGGAATGGTCAGGCCTGATCTCGTGTGAAACTGAGATTGAGTCGCGTATCCCAAACAAAGGGTGCACAGTTTTGGGAGGCTGCTATCATTTACAGTAGATGTTTTTTTTTCCAGTATCAAAGTATGAAAAAATAACAATTGGTTTTACTCTTTCTAGCATTAAACCTTTTGGCGTTCTCTGGTTTTCACTGGTGACACCAGGCCCTAAAGGCTGTTTCTGGTGTAGACCAAGCAGTTTCAGGGACAATGCATATATTATTAGGGCATGTTTTGTCTGCACGTTCACCACAAGTACTGAGTGTGGTTAATGCGGACACGATTCCTTGCAAAAGGTTTATATTTGGTGAACATCTTAACACCTCCTGATTTAATGCTTTCGTGACTGCAGGGATTCATATTCTTGGTTTTTTCAAATTTTCTTGCTGTGGTTTTCACACCTGATGATGATTGCTTGTGTTGCAGTCGAAACGTCGTGATAATTTTATTGTTTTATATTTTTATTATTTTATTGTTTCCCTTCTACGTGATTTTACCGAAAGAACCGAGGATATCTTAACACAACTGTTTTATTGCCAGAAAGGGTAAAACCTATTATTTTATTTCTTACTGTAAATGCATATATGGTTCCGGTCATTAGATGCACTATGCATAAAGTGTTATGTTTTGATGAATTGCAGTGAATAGCCATCCGAAAGACTGATGTTAAAATTACACTTGCCATTACATACTTTGTTTTAAGATGAAGTAAAATCGGAATACTGTAAAACTATATTGGTAAAGCCTCGACTGTAGCTAATTATATTGGTAAAGCCTCGACTGTAGCTAATTATATTGGTAAAGCCTCGACTGTAGACAATTATATTGGTAAAGACTCGACTGTAGCCAATTGACCGCCATCGAAGATGGGTTTAAGGCCACCAAAGGAAGCCAAAATGCTCGTATACAGTAGAGTTGGTTATGGTCCTTCCACAAGACATAGCGTGTAGTACAGTACACGTTATGTAGCGTTATATGAACACTGGACAGCCAGCAAAATTCCGAATATGTTTAAAGTTCAGTATACGTCACAGTAAAATTAGCTAATTGGTGCAGCCCTGCAATTACTTATGCCACTTCTGGCCGAAGTGCACTCTAGAGAGGGTATCTTAGCTTACTCTTCCATGCCACCTAAACGTCTCGGAGGGAAAGGCGAGAGTACCCACACCTTCACCACACACGACCTGTGAATTTACTTGACTGTGGTGAACCCATTTACAGCATACTGTTGGGAAGACAGAGGTGGGAGGATTTAAGACACTTCCTCATTGTTTCGGCTACTGCCCTGGGAGATCGAACTGGAAAACTTGTGGATTGCGCATCTAGTGTTAACCTAGGGTAACGGGAATTAATTCAGTGTACAAAACTATTCAACCTGTAGTCTTCTGTGTTTACGGTTTCATTTGACAGATTTGACTGACGGTGAACTGGAGTCTCAGGCAGTGCTGTTCCTCATGGCTGGTTATGATAACACAAGCACAAGCATCACCTTTTTGGCCTATTGCCTTGCTTGTAACCCTGACGTCCAGACTAAAGTCCAGCAAGAGATCGACACAATTCTTCCAGATGGCGTAAGTCAACTTACATTAACTACTTAAGTACTGTATGGTGCATTCATTGTTAGAGTATTACTCGCTGTCATACATCGCAGCATTCGGAACATGTTTGTCAATGTGAACGTGTTTTTCAAAGGCTGATTGACAAATGTATTGCACACTCCATAATGAATTGTGTTAAACAATAACATTTTAATGTAAAATGCATTGGTCCGTGTCACCTTGAATGCATGCAGAAACTGCCAGATTACGAGACTCTGAAGCAGATGGAGTATCTGGACATGGTCGTGTGCGAGACTCTGCGGATGTACTCATCATCATCTCGTACGGACCGCGTCTGTAAAAAGACGACGGTTGTGAATGACCTGGTCATCCCCAAGGGTGTGGTGGTCACCGTGCCATTGTGGGTGCTCCACTACGACCCGCAGTACTGGGACGAACCTCACGAGTTCCGGCCGGAACGGTGATTGAGTCTCACGATTTTTGAATAATTAATGTTACTCATAAACATGAGCACATTTTTGTGGTTTAGCAATTGCATCAAGGATCGAGGTTGCAGTCCAGGGCATGACACTGGAAGGAAAATTAGTTTATTCATTCTTGCCCATTCATTAGGCCCCCTTCTATTTTCAACATACATCTCCGGATCGCCAATATGTCATCGCATGACATCAAGTTCCATCAATATGCTACTGGTACACAATTGTACACCGCAGTTTAAGTAAAAGTTAGAAATGGAGAGCCTCGGTAACCTCGCAGATTGCATGCGAGCGGTGCACGTGTGGTTCGCATGAAACGATTGCTGCTTAGTCCAAATAAATTAGAGGTTCTGCTGGTTGGCACTTGGCCTCAGGGGGAAAAAAACTGGGAGCATCGGGTGTGGCTGTCACACACTCCAGGATTAAGTTTTTACTCATCTAAAAAGCCTCGACACCATACTCGAGCAGAATGTCGTTTGGTCACCACGTGCAAAATATTGTCAGCCTCTGCAATTTTTATGACAGGGCTCTATGACACATTCGGCCACTGTCGAATTGTGACAAAAGCAACACGGTGGCGTGCGGCATAGTATCGACAAGGCTCGATTATTGAAACTCGCTACTCTGCGGGACGTTTGTCAAAAATATTACCAAGCTGCAGCGCGTACAAATTCTTTGGCACGTGTTGAGATGAGTACTGCAAGATCGGACCATGACTGTCCATTGCTCGCTAAGCTGTTTCGACTTCCGGTTGCAAAACGAATACATTACAAGGTCGCGCTCATTACACATACAAAGTGCTTTCCACAAATGAACCACAATACCTTGCTGATCTCATCAAGGAGCAAAATCCATCACGCGACCTCTGATCCATCTTTGCAGCAGCATTTGGCTAGCCATCGAACAAAGACGGTTGCTTCATCGCGCGCTTTCAGATGCGCTTCTGCGGCCGTCTGGAACACTCTTCCAATATTAGGAAGCTACTGGAGCTGTGCAGTTTTAAATCTACAATGAAAATGTATTTCTTTAGAACTGCGTTTTGTGTTTAGTCTGCCGTTCTCCCGCACCTCCGGTTGGCATGGTTGGCTACGTACGGTGCGAAAGAACTACAGCATACAAACAGGACAGAACTTGTCACTTGGCAGACTGGCGATCGTGGCTATCAGGAATCACTGGTTTGTGTTGAACCCCGCTGTTCATCGATTCTGCGTGTGCACGACTGCGAATTGTGCAGATTCACCAAGGAGGCCAAGGAGGCGCGTGACCCCTACTGCTACCTGCCCTTCGGCCACGGCCCCAGGAACTGCATCGGCATGCGCTTTGCCCTGATGTCCGTGAAGATCGCTGTCTGTCGCATCCTGCAGCGCTACTCTTTCCAGACGTGCAGCGAGACCACGGTGCACGATCACACCCCCCTCCTCCACTCTTTACTGTTCACAAACAAAGTTACTTTATAGTTCCTGCAGGAATAATGCTTGAATTCCATGATTTCACTGTCATTGTTAATTAACATTCTCCCAAGGGAATTAATACATATGTATTCACTTTAATGGGATTTTAACACAGATTCTGTCATGCAGGAATTGTCCATCAATGCACATTTGTTTAAATGGAATTGCAAAAGTATATATATGTCAATCTTTTTTGTGGGATTTGCCAGGATCATGATAATCGGCAGCATATTGAAAGGGGAATTACCAAAGAACTTGAACCACATTCATTTCAATGGATATCCAGGGTTCACCATTGAATTATTGATTATAATTATATTGAAAATTCCTAAGCTGTCAAAAAAAATCTCAATCATTAAATGGAGATTCCTGGTTCATTTAAATGAATGGATAATTTCCTTAAATGTATTTATGTTAACCCTCCATAATTCGAATGAATCCATGATGCTGTTGGGAGTCATTAGATTCCAATCATTGTTTTGCGATTCTGGGCTATGGATCGTAGGAGTCGACCATCTCTAATTTAAATGTTAATTTCAGTAATGCTCATACATATGGAAGCTCGGAAAGTTATTTTTTAGCGTGCTCTGACCATTTTTAACGTTTTTTGTTTTGTTTACAGATTCCACCACAATTTAACAAGAATACATTTTTACAGCTGGAAAAACCACTGAAGGTGAAAGTTGTGGCGCGAAAGGAGGCCGAGTGAAATATGAATCGGGTGAACGATTGAGAAGGAAGCAAGGGTGACGGCTACATTCACATTGTTCAGTTGGAACACGTCACCTTGCCAATTAGGCCCTTGGTCGGTGATGGCTATGGGCAGCATTTTCCAAAAATGCAGAGAAAAGTAACGTTTGTCAATGAGTTAATCGTGCCTCGCGCGTCTTAAAATAACAATTTCTCTGGCGCCAACATATATTATTGCCAACAGATATTGCAGTTCAACTGTGGAGGAATCTATTCTTTCTACATTTTGCGAATATATATACAATTGACTCATAATCATAATGATTGTATTTTTTGTTTATTACAGTAAGTGATTACATTAATATACTTGTTATAAGTTACTCTACATGTAGGTATCTATCGTGATTTAAGGTTGGGTTTGTAATACGGGTCCATGTAGTTGGTATACTTGCTAAATAAATACGTGAATCGCGATGCTGTGGGTGGCGCTCATTGACGTTAGCGGTGCCAACCAAGTGCCGGAAATTGTACATTCTTACGGTGGGGACATGTGTGACCTATAAACAACCACCATGGATGTTCCACCAAGTGTTACAATTGCGAAATCCCCCTGGGTGTATGGTCTGAGTTTGTCGTTTTTAATAACTTTCCATTGGTTGTAAGATGTACCATGTCTTGTCATTTTTTTTTATCATGCCATATGCAGTACTATATTGTACAATACAAGATTATACCGTATACTAAGGGACCATCCATTTAGTACGTACGCATGGAGGGGGGAGGGGGGGGTTAACCCAAATGCGTATGCTTGCGTATGGGGTCTACTGACAATGTACGTACGCATAGGAAACGAGGGGGCGGGGGGGTGAAGCCTCAATAATAATGCAGCCGGCGGTGAACTATCTATTATTAATCCTTGATCGTTTCTGCGTAGATTCAATATCGGCCGTTCTATAGGATTCGGGGGGGGGGGTGTCAAGCGTACGTAGCCAGGTGAGAGGGGGGGGTAAAAACTACGCGTGTGTACAGGGAGGGGGGGGAGGGTCAACTTTTGACGGATGTTTGCGTGCGGACTAAATGGATGGCTCCTAATGCTTCAGGTCGAAAACTTAGCAAGACCGTTCAAGTATTGCCTCATCCCATCAGCCAGATGGCATTCTGGGAGTGCACACGTTCAGCAGCATTGCTTGAACACAGCTCTCTGTGAGTGCCTTTTGTAGCCATGGAATATGAATCCCTGCAGTCACGAAAGTTTTAAATCAAAATTTAACCGGAGATATTTGTGTTCCGAACTTTAAGTAACAAAAGGGGTTTGTTTTGGTCGATCTTTTCCCACCGTCACGGTGGCAACGGCTAGAATAACAGTACAATATTGCATTGTTGGTGTGGATCGGAGCCTCAGCCAGCCGCCAGCCAAGAAACTCAAAGCTTACATATTTATATGCAATAAGCAATTCAATTTTTCACAGCATAAATAGTAAAAAAAAACTACACGAACGAACTCTCACTCCCGAAGGACCTCTCTCGTGGCGAACAGACCTCGACATTATTGGCCTTAAGCTCTCCTGAACAACATTGCCATAACGCAGAGAATGGAATTTCCCGTAGTGATAAGATCGTTATCATTGCCACGTTATGGTGCAATTACCAGTACTCACACCTGCAAAGACCTTATCAGTCCCTACCTCATTACAGACCAATTCAGACTTTATTGGTCATCCCGTGCTCTTTATAAATCTCAAAGTTCACGTTACAAAGTCCCATCACAAGGGAGAAGAAACATGAACACGGGGTCAAGCGAAAATGGGTTGACCGGTATGAGTACTGTATTGGAAACGGGAAGAGTTTTGAGTTTTGCCTTGATGCAACAGTCATTCATTTTATTTTAAATGACTTGGAAGGACTGTCTTAAGCCCGGATGCTTATTCATAAGCCTCGCATCAATCCCTTAATTACGAACGTTATAACGCAAACGTGCAGCTGTCACGGGGGGAGCATCTCCAACGCGTTGCGTCGCGCGAGTCGCTCATTGACGGGCAATTCGTGAAAATTTCCACCGTTGATAATTATTACACGTGTGTAGGAACATTGGTGAATACTGGTAGGAACCTCCTGGTTACACCAGCCCACAGGGGATTATTGTGTCCGTCCGTCCGTCGTGCATCCAAAAATGGGAGGGGTGGAGAGGGGAGGGTGGGGAAGGGAGGGGCTGGGTGGGGAGGGGAGGGTGGGGGGTGGGAGGGGTGGGGCTGGGTGGGGAGGGGCTGACAACCCCGTGGTGCCCTTATAAAACTCAACGTTTAACCTACTCACGCCGGCTTGTGCCCGCCCTCACAGTCGGGCATATTGTGCGGAGTACACCACGTGGTGCCGCCGTTGACCCTGGCCATTGACCGAGCAACCCAACGTTCCTACCAGCTCCCTCCGCAGGAGAATGTGTTTTATTACATATTGTTGAGGGGGAAAAAATGCTTGTTGGTTGTTGACTACACGGAACGGGGGTGGGGACGGATGATGACATCCAGGGTGTCTGGTGTTTTTTTCCAAGACTTGATTACATAACAGCCACCCTCCCAGTGAGCAGTCGTCATTATACTTTGAGCAACGCAGACGATCGAGTTGTCGACCAGAAACGCTGCAAGACAGACACACAGAGAGATACAGAGGGCTGTTGTTGTTCAGCTTGCAGGTTATCTTGGGGTAAGGTTATGTTGCCGTTGATGTTACTGGTTTACGCCGCGTGCGTAAACCAGTAAAGTTACACGGTAAAAGATACTTAGAATTGTCCTGCCACTTCGGTGTCGTCGAGCGGCTTGGGTGGTTGTTGAGAATTTGATTGAAACCCACTTCACAACAACTTTACCATGTATCTACTGCAGTGACGGTGCAGACCTTTCGTTAAAAGAACCGCACTCCTTATTGCATACCGTGTCAACCCACGTTGGTTTATACCACGTATTCTTGTACAGGGAGATTTCGTTTTCAGGTCCATGCGGCGGACAGCCATTTCAATACGGGCAAAACATGTTTTTTTTTGGTCTTTGTTTTGTGTTTCTAGCCTCGCGATGGCATTTTGTAGGATGAACGTTGAGATTTATAAGGTGGCGCGAGGTGCCGAATAAGGTCTGAATTGGTCTGTAATAAGATCGGCACTGATAAGGGGCTGACCGGTGTGTTATTCTGTACAAAAACATTGGGAATTAATGTAATGCACTCGACATTAAACTCGTTTGTATGCCATTTGAAAAATGTGTTTACCCCCCCTCTCTCTCTCTGTGCGTGTGAATGTTTCAGTTTGGGGAAGTCATTGACAGATGCCGAGCATACAGTGAGGGAAAAAAGTATTTGATCCCCTGCTGATTTTGTACGTTTGCCCACTGGCAAGGAAATGATCAGTCTATAATTTTAAAGGTAGGTTTATTTGAACAGTGAGAGACAGAATAACAACAAAAAAATCCAGAAAAACGCATGTCAAAAATGTTATAAATTGATTTGCATTTTAATGAGGGAAATAAGTATTTGACCCCTCTGGAAAACATGACCTAGTACTTGGTGGCAAAACCCTTGTTGGCAATCACAGAGGTCAGACGTTTCTTGTAGTTGGCCACCAGGTTTGCACACATCTCAGGAGGGATTTTGTCCCACTCCTCTTTGCAGATATTCTCCAAGTCATGAAGGTTTCGAGGCTGACGTTTGGCAACTCGAACCTTCAGCTCCCTCCACAGATTTTCTATAGGATTAAGGTCTGGAGACTGGCTAGGCCACTCCAGGACCTTAATGTGCTTCTTCTTGAGCCACTCCTTTGTTGCCTTGGCCGTGTGCTTTGGGTCATTGTCATGCTGGAATACCCATTCACGACCCATTTTCAATGCCCTGGCTGAGGGAAGGAGGTTCTCACCCAAGATTTTACGGTACATGGCCCCGTCCATCATCCCTTTAATGCGGTGAAGTTGTCCTGTACCCTTAGCAGAAAAAACACCCCCAAAGCATACTATTTCCACCTCCATGTTTGACGGTGGGGATGGTGTTCTTGGGGTCATAGGCAGCATTCCTCCTCCAAACACGGCGAGTTGAGTTGATGCCAAAGAGCTCAATTTTGGTCTCATCTGACCACAACACTTTCACCCAGTTGTCCTCTGAATCATTCAGATGTTCATTGGCAAACTTCAGACGGGCATGTATATGTGCTTTCTTGAGCAGGGGGACCTTGTGGGCACTGCAGGATTTCAGTCCTTCACGGCATAGTGTGTTACCAATTGTTTTCTTGGTGACTATGGTCCCAGCTGCCTTGAGATCATTGACAAGATCCTCCCGTGTAGTTCTGGGCTGATTCCTCACCGTTCTCATGATCATTGCAACTCCACGAGGTGAGATCTTGCATGGAGCCCCAGGTCGAGGGAGATTGACAGTTCTTTTGTGTTTCTTCCATTTGCGAATAATCGCACCAACTATTGTCACCTTCTCACCAAGCTGCTTGGCAATGGTCTTGTAACCCATTCCAGCCTTGTGTAGGTCTACAATCTTGTCCCTGACATACTTGGAGAGCTATTTGGTCTTGGACATGGTGGAGAGTTTGGAATCTGATTGATTGATTGCTCCTGTGGATAGGTGTCTTTTATACAGGTAACAAGCTGAGATTAGGAGCACTCCCTTTAAGAGTGTGCTCACAATCTCAGCTCGTTACCTGTATGAAAGACACCTGGGAGCCAGAAATCTTTCTGATTGAGAGGGGGTCAAATACTTATTTCCCTCATTAAAATGCAAATCAATTTATAACATTTTTGACATGCGTTTTTCTGGATCTTTTTGTTGTTATTCTGTCTCTCACTGTTCAAATAAAACCTACCATTAAAATTATAGACTGATCATTTCTTTGTCAGTGGGCAAACGTACCAAATCAGCAGGGGATCAAAAACTTTTTTCCCTCACTGTATATAAAATAGATGCCATTCCGCCATAACGTCTTTCATTTATCAACAATGATTACAGCTGGGCGAGTAAACAAAACATATAGAATGGGAGGTTAAATGGGTTTGCAAATGACGGCGACTGACGGGAGCGATCTTTGGCCGCACAGCGTTTTTCGCAATATGAAGAGACCCAGACTGAGTCTTGCATTGTTGAATCTTATGGTCGGGTGTTTTGTTTTTCTTCGGTCGGGAGCCTTCCGCACTTGGGGTTTTCTCCGTGTGCTTGCACTGTATTCACAAATTGCCTTTAAAAAATTGGGATATCGTTCATACTGTTGATGTCATTATGCATGATTGTTGATATCATTATGCATCTTCTTTGGTTCTTTCGGTAAAGTCACGTAGAATGAGAATAAAATAATAAATTGATAAAATAAAATAACACAATAATATTCTCACGACGTTTCGGCCACAACACAAGCGGCCTTCATCAGGTGAAGGGAGCGAGACTGTCTGGTAGGACAGCGCTGGAGTGAGAGAGCCACGTTCAGATCACGGCTTTTA